GGTAGAGAATGAGCGAGGAAAGCACGGGAGACCGACATGTCCGGATCATTGATCGGCTCTCCCGATTACGAATTTGCCGCCGATGTTTAGGGCTCAGCCATTCAGGCTCGCACATCCGGTGACTCGACGTAGCCTGGACGGCACTACATTGTCGGTAGATTCCCGACGAGGACAAATGCATAAGCAAATCGACGAATGAATAGGGCAAAGAGAAACCGAAAATCGAATATAAATAAAAAAATAATAATAAAATAAATAAAAAAAAACAAATAAAACGAAATGAAAAAAAAATTAACAAAAAAAAAAAAAACAGAAGGAAATCAGTCGAGTTGCGCAGGGGTGGCGAACACACAAAAAAAGTTTGTTATTCTGACCAAGCTGTAATACTGTAATAATATTGCTGTTGCATAAAGGATAGACGAAATCATAAGCTATGAACAATCTACGTATAATAAATAAATGTATGTGCTATAATATTATCATTCTTACCTTCTCCCAGCTCTCCTCTCGCCCGATTCCTTTTATGATATTTTCCTGGCTACGTGTCTATAATATAAGCTCATATTGTTATTTCCCCTCTCCTCGGTAAAACTGCCGAGTAAGAATGCATTGTGGCGGGTAAAGTTTTTTTTTTCTTCTACATTAATTTTATCTCATCAATGTTCATGTTTTTTACGTTAATAACAATAGCGTCGAGATTAAAATATTGCTTTTCCGAACAAATTTTATTATTTTTATCACGTATTATCTACATCTGTACATATAAACACTACATTTTTTTTTTTTTTTTTTTTTTAATTAATTTAATTAATAATTTACGAATAAGCTGTTCTGGCGTAGTATTTAACCGCGATAAATAAATTTGCAAAATACGATTTTATTGAAATTAAACGGCAGTGTAAACCGCTTCTTTTAACATCGATGGAATTATTAATTGTGTAATTTATTAATTTATAATTATACATGAGAAGAAATTTTTAACACCTACCGGAAATAACAGAATTTTTCGTCGATCTACAATTTAGCTTTTAATCGTCAAAATTTCTTTATACCACAAATGAAACTAAAAAAAAAAAGTTAAATTATTACCGTGTAATCTTAATTTCTATAAAAATTTAATATAATATTGTCACACTAAAATGTAAGCCAAATTAAATTCTTCCCAATTCATTTATTATTCAAGCGAAATTAAATTTCATAAAACAATTAGTAAAGTAAATTGTTATAAGTTTTATCGTTATACGTAGAACTTTTCTGGGCGTACGAAATTCACTATAATGAATAATCATTATAATTACTATTATAAATTAAATATTATTTTTATTTATGTCATTTTCATTAGACTTCAATTTTAAAATATAATTTTGAAATATGGTAAAAAATATTCGTATGCTAAATGTAAAATTTTACATATTTAGAGTTATTATTGTTATTATCATTAATATTATTATTGCTATTATGCAAAACATTATAAAATACGTTGGTGTAAAAGTATTATAAATACATAATATAATAGCAGTAATTTATTTAAATCAATATTATAATATTTCTATAGCTGAATAAAAACTTCTCTCAATAGATACAAAAATCTTTGCTGTTATATCTATTTTAATGCCTAAAAGAATCACGTTAAAGGCAATTATATTAAGAATTCACGAGATAATTGGAGAATTACGAATGTAAGTATACACTCATGTTTATATGAATAGATATATATGCATAATATTTGCTTATACATTTGTGTATGTACGTACGAGCATACATACTTGCATAAGCATATACATGCATTGATACGCATAATGCAGGAAAGAAAAATAATATAAATAGTAATATTTAAGTTTTTTTAATAGTAATAGATAATATAAATTCCACCTTAAAACTCTAATTGCTCCGAGTCCTGTAATAATTAATTTCTTTTATCAAAATATTAATTATATGTTTAATTTCATAATTACGCATGAAAACATATTGTTACGCATGATATGTGAATTATAATTGCTCTATTTGTTTATTAGTGATATTACAAAAAATGTATATAAAAATTATAGTTGATTATGACATTCCATATAATATTTATCAATATTCTTATGATAAAGCGCACATACACCCACATACAAGCGCGCGCGCGCGCACACACACAAATTATTGTAAAATGGAGAATTTAAAAAAGGTAAAATAATATGCATTAATCTTAATGACGTATATCACATATATTATGCTGTGGTAATCATCTGGTATCTTTCTTCTTTTTACGTTTTTTATTTTACTACGAAAAATAGTTCCAAATGTCAATGTATAATGAAAAGTGTTAAAACTATGGTACTAATATGTTTCTCGGGCAAGCTTAAATATAATTATATTATTTACATTATTTAAATATCTATGACAATTATGGTAAATCATGATTCATTTATACTTAAATATAACATTTCTGAATTTTAATAAAATATTAATAACATCATAGAAAAATACAGTCAATGCAATATTATAGCAAGTTAATATTTTTAACAATTATATTAAATTGATATCAGATATACTTATTTTTTATACAATATATTTAAATAGTAACATGTTTGATTTCGTGTCGTTTTATTACAGTGAAAATAACTTTGTCCATTAAAATATTTATTTTCTATATTTAGATTTGGTATTTTATGAAGTATAATTTTATTAAAAAAAAAAAAAAAAAAAAAAAAAAAAAAATTGAAATAGAAGATTATTACAAGTTTTAAGTAGTAAGAGAATTCGCTGTATAAAACAGTAAGGCAATATTGAGCGTACAACTTAGTATTTATTATTATGAGTAATCAATGCTCGTCGCCAGCATAATGATAAGCGATTTGTGAGCTGGCAAAGGAAAATTCCGCCTAAAACGAAAAGTAGAAATACCAAACCCACAGTATCGAATAAAGTAACTGAACGAAAAACACTCCCCTCGTGAGTAATTCTATTGCCCATTTATTGTCGATTGCACAAATGCGTACCACCACTAACCGAAGAGAGCCACTTTGTGCATTTTTACATGTAATTAATACCTTCTTACAAGCTTAGACGATGGACATTGTCGATCAAGAGCATATATGACAGGACGAATATCAGCGACTATCGTACATTCCATAAGAAATGATATTTCACCATTGACAATCACAACGTGTACAATGTTCGATCTTAACGTCAATCCCTCGATCTTTAAATAAACTCATAGAAAAAAAAACCTTTGAGTGGAATATTCTTCGTCAATATGAACATGAACAATTGGTTTGTTCCATACAGTCAGTTCAGTATTTACATTGTTCATTTTGAGAGAAATTTGGACAGATCGCTTGATATTATGTTGACAATGAGCATTTTATAATTAATCTTTATATCTACAAAGTGTAATAGAACCAGGTAACAAAATAATCATAATACATGCACAGTTTTTTTCATATCACAATTCTTGACATCTGTATAAATTGTTTACAATAGCAGTCGAAATATGTATAAAACAGTGATGTTACATGGTACGCGTACTTATGTCGATTTACTAATTATTAATATGACTATCATATTTACATAAATAGAAATGCTTTTATTACAAAATTTCTTTTAAAAATATTAAATTATGTTATTTCATTTTATAAATATTCAATACTAAAATATGATTTTGTATTACTTATAATTATATGAAACATGAACATCATATTCAAATTCCTTCTAATTATCTTTAAATTAATGAAATTCACAATCTTTAATAACATAATATTTTTAGTACGTAATTGTAAAGGAATTCTTTTTTTTTATTTATACTATTGTATTGAATAAAAATTCATTTGGGTATAAAAATTAAATGAATGCTAATATTTTAAAAGCAATATAATACTATTTACAATGAAATAAAGATTATATAAAAAGGAAAGGCAAATAAAAATATCACTACGTTTCTAATACAAATTCTCTTGACTTTTAAAAATATTTGGAATTTTTAGTATTAAAAATTTTGTTATTGAATGTAATTAAAAAAAAAAAAAAAAAAAAAGGGGGGGGGGGGGCAAATTTTTCAATCGACTTAATTTTCAAACAATCATTATAATACTTTAAAAACTCTATGTTATGATATAAAAAATATTCAAAAAAAAAAAAAAAGAAAAAGAATTACTGAATGCAAAAGTGAACGTGCAATTCAAATAAATAAAAATTGTATTAAATTTATTAATAAAAATCTTACTGAAATATTTCATTTTATTTATATTTTGCAATGGGAATTATAATCATTTATAAAAATGAATAAAAATAAAGTAATAATAAAGTAATCTTCCATATAGATGAATTTATCTAGGCAAGATTTTAAGATTTTATCAAATTTAAATACAAATTTAAACTGCAAACATAAGTTCTTTTTAAGTTTTTAAATAAATTAATGGATCGACAAATATTGGAAATCGTAATTTATACATTTTATTTTAACCATGAAAAATATAATATGCAGAATAAAGTAAAAATAAAAGATTGAATGTTGATTTTGTGCACTTGTCTATTCGTGTCTATTTCATATTGCCAGTTCAGTATTTTATTTAAATTCTCAAATTTCAAAAACTTAAAAATCATTTTGGTTTATATAGTGGGGAAATAAAGTTGAAATATTAGTATCAGCAAAATAGATAGAATGTCTTATTGTCAATGATATTCTTTGTAAAATGTATGTGTGCTATTGATGTACGGATGTACAAAGAAAACTTAATTTTTCGTAAAAAAAAAAAACTGTTCGTTTTGATTGATTCGTTTATGTTCTCTATTTTAATTCTTTTTTTTTCTTCTCGTCGTCATATCCTTAACGATGACGCAATTAGACAATTTTTTTTTATCGTTTTTACTAAATAGATCGATTCGTGCTATACAAGTGGCGCTGGCGCTATTTGAGAGAAAAATAAATGAAATAAATTTAATTTTATAAATGTACTTTATAACAAAACTCTACTTAAATTCCTATTGCTTATAAGAATTAAAAGAGTGTTCATGTCTCAATTTTTTTTCGATTTGGAAGTCTCCTCATTCTGCTGATTATCACATTTGGATTTATTATCTTGCTTATCCGAAGTTGCATAAGAATGTGAATCTTCCGGTGCTTTCTGTGTTTTATGAAATTTTGAATATTGATTATAAGAAGGTTGAGAGAATCGTCTCGATGGCGATGGCAATGACATCGGTGAGAGTGATCTTGATCGTGATTGTGATCGTGATTTTGATCGTGATCGTGATCGTGATCGTGATCGTGATCGTGATCGTGATCGTGATCGTGATCGTGATCGTGACCGGGACCGGGACCGGGACCGGGATCGAGATCTCGGTCTGCGTCTGCGTATCGCCGGCGACTTGACTCTCCTCTTTTCAAACGGGGATTTCGCTCTTTTCCAGTTCCTGTACTTCCATTCCATTGGTGAACTAGATGATTGCCTATATCTTGGCGAATGCGGTGATTTCTTAAAACGTTTGTCCGCTGGTGACATAGGTGATCTGCATCTTCTGTCGTAAAATCTATTGGGCGACAGAGGCGATCTGCCTTTCTTATCGAAAGATCTACTGAATGGGAACGGCGATCTGCCTCTTCTATCGCAAAATCTATTAGGCGATGAAGGCGATCTGCATCTTCTATCAGGCATTCTATTGGGTGACAGAGGTGATCTACATCTTCTGTCGGAAATTCGGTTTGGTGATAGAGGCGATCTATATCTAGGTAATGGGGAAAATTTGTAATTTCGATTTGGCGATGATGCCACTGATCTGTATCTTCTGTTGGTGAGCGATGGCGAACGATTGTATCGATACTTTGGTTTATGATAATAATCACGATCGCGATCTAACTGCTTTTGAAGATTTTTATGTTTATCAATCCAGTTTCGAAGATCTATAACTGAATCTCCTTTATTTGCATCTTTTGATACTTTTTCGTTAAATTTTTTAAGCTCCTTTTTTACCATGACTTCTTTGTCAATTTTTACTTTAACTGCACTGTTTTTATTGTCATTCGCATCGTTTTCTTTTTCTTTTTTAACGATGTCTCCGTTGTCTGTATTTTCCTGCTTAATATTAGCAACAGGTAACATTGTGGATTCAAGTGATTGTGAACATTTTGGTAAATGCAATGTTTCAGGTGTCTCTAGAGCTTGCGTCGATTGCTCATTACCGATCGAACAATTTTTTCTTGATAAAAACGATTGAATTGGTTTCACGCTTAAGTGAAAACCATCTAACGATGAATTGGAGATAGGTGGTACAGTTTCAGTTTTTATTCTAACGTTCGGAGACGCAGGAAGTTCTGGATTTATGGTCTGATATTTCGTCGAAGAATGATTTGTAATATTAATCGCCTCTGACTCACTATTAATATCTGAGGTTTCTGACATTACAAAAGATACATTTGGATTTAAATCACTACTATCAGGGCTCAATTCACCATCTTCTCTTTCTGAATCTAAATCTAACGATCTAATATTGACATTCTGTTTATCTAAATAATTGAACTGATTCTTTTCGATTTTAAGCACTGACGAGCGATTCTGGACATTTTTTCTTTTAATCTCCTTTATGCAATTAGATTGTTTTTTATTGGACTTAAAAGATACATTCGACTTAAATCGATTGTCCCTAAATTTTGAGGTAAATAAAATGTTTGACTGTTTTTGTGCTGGTTTTCGTAATGTACCATCAAATTTTCTTTTGGAATCCTTCGGCTTAGAATAATTGTCCATAGACGCAGATTGAAGTGGTTGATTATATTTGCTTTCTACGCTTAAAAAAAATTTTGAATCTAACCCCTTCAATATTGATAAATTAGATTTGCAGTTTGAAACAAATTTATCGACATTTGATAAACAAGTAGAATTTGAAAAAGAATTACAAGGCAAATTTTGTATAAGATGGTTAATCTTATAAAAATTCTCATCATTTTTTATTGGTAATTTTAGCTCTGGCTTGTCACGATTGGAAGTCAAATGATCTAGATTTGTCTTAGCATTAAGTATTGGATCAGTATTACTCAGCTCTACTTTTGATTCAATTAAGGCATTTCTTTCAAATAGAATGATAATATCAAATTCATTAGGATTTGTTGGAGATTTATCTAAGATTCTACACCGCATTGGTAGAAACTCGGTACCCATAAATTCATTTTTTGATGTTAAAGTTACAATATATTTATGAAATTCTGTTGTGAATGAGCCATATACAGCTACTCTCCAAATGCTTGGTAAATCGCGTAAAGACTTTATGGCATCAAAACCTAATTTTTAAAAAAGAAAAAATTAAAAAATAATTTGCATAATATTAAGAATGACAATTTATGAAAAAGAACTCTTGCCATAAGTATGTTTCTTAAAAAAGTATATTAAATGAAATATTTATATAACTTTTAATTTCAATTAAAAACAAATATGTTTTCAGTAGAAGAAAAAATCTTGAATGAGACATTCCTCTTTTCTTTGCGCAAATTGCAAATAAACGATATTATACCTATATTCATAAAATTTATGTAAACAGTAAGAAATAATAGCTTACTCTTTCCATACGGTGAGGCCAAATTAAGGACAGCAACGGATGTGCATCTTTTAATTAAAGATGAGCATTTACTCTCTACTTCTTTTGGATTGCAAATAATAAAAGATGTGTTATATAAATTATTATAGGATTTTATATCTTCGGCTATTTTTATCTGGTAGTCAAGTGTATAAAGTCCAATAACTTTATCAAATTTCTAAAATAAAATAAAAAGTTGTAATTCATGATTGATATGATAGGATTAAATACGATTAAAATAATAGGATATTTGAAATTACATGGGCTAACATGAGACTTAGAACACCATAATTACATCCTAAATCAATTAAAGTTGTATCCGTAGTTGGTGATAAATACTCCAACATTATTTCGCCTAGCAGATACGCTTGTACAGAATTGAAACTTATATTTGTTTTTGGATTATAATTAATTTCAATTGGTCCAATTTTGTCTCTTAATTCGAAACAACCTGTAATATGTAATGGAGACAATTGCTGTTTTCTTTTCATCCTGAAAGATAAAGTAATCTTCTCAAGAAGTTGAAATTATGAAAAATTTACCAAAGCATATTAATAAGTGACGTACGATCTTGCATTAATACAGTACAATGAGACAACATTACAACTTCTTCCAGGCCCACGATTAAAATATTTCCTTAAAGGTTCCATTAATGGAGTTATACCTTTTCCACTAACGATTAACATTAATTCATTCTTGTAATTACTTCTTAATTTTATATAGCTCCATGTCGGTTTTTCATGGATTTTTTTGGAAGATGTTCTTTCTTGTTTAAAATATGACGATTTATTATAAGTTTTAATTGCAAACTCTTGAAACAACTAAATATACAAAATATATGTTGATAAATTTTTTAAAAAGTGAATAAAAACAAAATTCTTTATGAATTTAAATACCTCAACAGCATGCATGACATACTCAGGAAATTCATTACGATTAATATGATCACTTTTAGTTGTAATTCCTGTGTTAACATGTTGAAGTAATAACATTTTACAATTGAACGTATGATCATGACATGGATCTAACGAATTTAATTTACACTTAATAATACCTATAAAAGTTTTATTACTTATAAATTTTACATCATAAAATAATTTTATTATAAATCTTCAAGTTTCAATATATGGTTTAATTCTATTATAATTCTTTTGCCTCAGATTTTGACTTATAGAATAACAAATATTTACAACTGATATTATTAAAGTTATTATAAAAAAAAAAAAACAATTACGAACAATTAAATCTCCAATAATTTTGCCAAGTTCTACAAAATGGTGGATGCATTGGATAATCAAGTTTGCAAAATGTTGTATTATCATTTTTTTCGTTTCTGATAATTTGATCTCTTGTTGAATCATTAGTATATGCATAACAAATTAAAGTATTTAAAATCTCTAAACGTGACTTAGTTTCTTTAATTTTAGTTTGAATCTACAAACATATTATGTACAGAATTAAATATCTATTTATATTAAAAGTAACTATAGTTTTTATTAATATAGAATTATTACACACACCAGTTGATCATATTGTTCTGGAATATTGTTATCTTCATCATTCTCAAAAAAATCATTTAAATAATTTTCAAATTTTTTGCTTTTAAAATTTTCATAATCATCACTGTACTTTGTTTCATTTGCAACAATTTCATTTGAATTTTCATTTGAATTTTCATTTAACAAAAAGTCCTTTTCAGCTTCTTCCAATAATTTATTGACCTCCATATCATACTCTGGATCATAATCATTTTTATTCAATACAATGGAATTTGTATCTTGAGTATCGATAAATTTTAATCTGGTATTGAAATCATTATGCTCTTCATTTTTGTCATAATTTTTGTTGCAACTATTTATATTCTGGTAATAATTCATATTGTTCTCATATAATAAAACACTTGTAGATAAAATGTCATTGTTTCCAAAATGTTCATTTCAATTTTTATGTTTAACTTTTTTTTACATTGGAACTTGCATCTTCATTTTCTGAAATCATTTAAGTAAAATATGTTTATATATCATCTCGTTATAAAAGAAATAATATTGTAACATAAAATTTTATATTATTAATGAGCGTGTTAAAATGTTCATTTTTATTTATTGAAAGTACGTGCAATGCAATTTCAAAATTAGTTCAAAGTTTCAGTAAAATAACATGAAGAATAAAAATATCAATAATTATAGTAATTTAATAAAATTCCTAAAATTATGTAATGTTAAATAACGTTACAATATTTTGAGGTTAACGAGGTTATACAAACCGCAGGTATAAAAGATTAAAATCGCACCATAATATTAAATGAAATAGTACATAATTTAAATTCAAATTATTGCCAAAAATTAATTATTAAGATAAAGCACGCATAATTAATTGTTTAAAAATATTCAAACTTGCGGCACAATGATCTACACATTTTTAATATTGGTGATTTTAGATGTTTGGTTGGTACTTAAAAGAAATAAATTTTATCACCAATAATGATACTGTAAAAATGTCTAGGAAACATTTAAAAATTCAAAACGAAAACAACGGAAGCACGAAGAAAATTGTGATTTACGTTATTTGAATTTCTGTGGAATGAAATATCATTTAATTTACTCTATAATATTAACGTAATATTATAAAAAATAAATAACAAAGACAAACACAAAAAATGAAATCTTCGTATGATGATTAATTTTTACATCTGTGAAAAATATAAATGTAACGAACTCGTTATCACAATCTCATGTTAATCAGTATCTACGTACATCAACAACACTCTGTTCATTAAAATGAAAATAAATGTCATTACCCTTAGTGAATAGTAGATCGGAAAAAATGATAAGATCACATATCATTGGCTTGTAAGAATCGAGAAGAAAAAATAAGAGACCTTAGCTAAATTAATTATATGTACATATGTTGTGTGCGTGCGCGCGCGCGCGCTTGAGTCTGCGCGTGTATGCGTTGAAGCAAAATTATTAAGTCACTGGCAATGCAATTTCAAACAATATTGATATAAATATAGATACATAAGTCTAATAAATTTAATAAATCGCTATTATTAATGATATTATGCTTACAGTTAACATAAGAATTTTAACAATAAATTTTCATAAATACACTTTTAAAATAAATATATTACGAGTCAAACAGTAATAAATGAAAACATAAAATAAGAAAACACAAACTTTATAAATTCTTATATAAAAACAATACTATTACTTTATAATATAAACAATATTAATATCATACGTGATAAAGCTGCATACAGTTTTATTTTCTAAGTCACTCTACGTTTCTCTAGCATATATCAATAGATAGATATTAATTATAATTTCCGTTTGGGCTTTTACATTAAGGCTTATTCGATTTGATTCAGATTTCAGTATTCTTGTTTTTACTGAAAATATTTACTTTACGCATAACCTATTATAACCTCATATGTATATATATATATATATATATATATATGCGTGTGTGCGTGCGTGTGTGTGCGTGCGAGCGCGCGTATGGGTGCCGTGTGTGCACGCGTGTATAATATTCAAAACATAACAATGTATGTATACCGCGTGCCAATTTTCTACAATGTTAGAAAGAAATAAATGTTAATTCCTATCGTTAATAAGATTATAGACTGCAGCATGGAAGAACTTTCAATCGACGATGTTTATTTTGTTTTAAAAACATTGTGTAATTCATTTCTGAAGCAACCCAATGTTGAAACATTAACAAAAATCCTAATCTTAGTTAATAGAACTCCAAATATAATTATTCAAAAAATGTATGAAGATATTTTGTATCCAATAACATATCACATAAGAAATAATACTTTTAGGTATACATATATATTTGAGATAAAAATAATTAATTTTATTTATATTTAATTCATTTTATTTTATTACAGCAAAGATATAAATTTAACTTTAACTAAAGGTATACAAACTGTAATATCCAAAATTACAATCGACAGTCCTAAATTATTTTTTGAAATTTATCAATGTTTACGTTCTCAATTATGTCACAAAACAAATGCTATGGAATGTATGTTTACCTACTATTTTTAAAAACCTTTTCTTTATCACTATGATCATTAATTTATATTAATTTTAGTAATAGAGGCACACGAAGAATTAAAAGAAACTGTAATTCAGTGTTTGAATAATTTAATAGGAAATTGTTCGATAAACATTATTGAATTGTTTTATACACGAAAACATGCTGCTCTATTAAGTCATGGAATTTATTTATGTGTCACAATAGCCAGATTAGAAAAATCCATTTCTTTAAGGTATAATAAATTCAAATATGATATATATATATGCATATGTATATATATAATTTATTAACATTTATTTGCTTTTAGGTTATCCGCAATAAGAACAATCATGACATTATTGCAAGTACAGAAAGAAGCTGAGACACAAGATGTAGATTTACGTAATAAAATTGCTTATGTAATTATGTTGTATTTACCAGGAATAGCAAGTGGCTTATTGGAAATTGCTGTTGGTAATGATATTCAAAATCACAAAATTACAATGGTAATTAATGATAATAACATGTAACAAGAATTTATTATATTCCTAAAGAAAAATATTTGTTAATAGTAATATAACTAAATAACTGAAAATAAAAGTTTATTTTTAATTATTCAAATTTTGTAGATGGCCATTCGAGTGTGGAGTAAAGCGCTTAATCTTGTTATGCAGGATATGCTCGAAGAAGAAAGTAAAGTAGTACCTTTAAATACATTTGATTTCAATAATATAAAATCTAAAGATCTTAATACTATTGAAAAAATAAAACATATTTTAAAAACTTCCCAAAGAACTCCTGATTGGTACGCCGAAGTGTCTGAAAAATTAAAAATTATCCTTGTAGAGTTAAACACTTTAACTAAGCATTCACACTATAAAGTTCGAAAAGAGCTTGTTGAGGGTGTTAGCCTTATATTATTAAATTGTTCTAGGTATATGATTTATTATTTTTTCTATTCGTTTTTTACACATGTCGATGGATTTAACGTATATAATTTACAGAAATATGAAATCTTGTTTTCAAATTTTATTAAACATTTTAATAACAATGTCAGAAGATGAGAATGAACAAGTTGCTAAAAAGGCTAGAAATGCTTTACAAAATATTCAAGATAAATTTCATCAAGATAAAAGCATGAAATCAATCGTTGAAATGCTGGAAGAAAATTTGTACGATCTATTAACAGAAATGCCTAGAATTATTAGAACCTCGAGTACTTTCCAAATATTTTTGTTATTTTAAAATTAAACACAAACATGTCAATATGTACATATTTTATATATTTTTAGCTGAATTATTGCAGCTGATGTGGCTCGATCGTTTGGCCGGATATTTGAAACTTTTTGGAAAACAAAGACTATCACTAATTTTACTTTCAACGGCACATTTACGAAAATTACTATTGAGTCTTATATATATAACTGAACTTGATAGTAGTAGTATCTCATTATTGGAAGATATTTCGACAATTGGTAAAAAATTAAGAAAAAAAAAATGTATTAACAAATAATGTCATTTGTATAAGTTATTTAAAATTGATTTTTTTTTTTTTTTAGATTTTGACGACACTGTATATCATGAGGCAGCTTATTCATGGAAGCAGCATAAATTTCTGTTTAATTCGACCTGCGTCGAAAAATTGAATTGTATCTTTCGAATTCTTGGAGAATTCGGAGATCACAAATTATTAGTTGATAGCATTTTAAAAATGATACTTGAGTTACCAAAATTTAAAAAGGAATTAATTTTAATGCTGAATGTTATACTGGGAGGTAACGTTTCTTCTTTAAATGACAATTTCGTGACATTATGTCAATCGAATGAGTTAATAGTTGAAATTATATTTTGTAATAGTATCTACGGATTCATCCGTGCAAATTTCGATATATAAGCAAGTTATTGAATTCTATACGACATCGGATTATTGGGACTTACCTATTGAAGTTTCTGAAGAAATTACGCTTCATGTAGCCCAAAATAACATCGTTCAGTGCTGTCTCCTTCTTGAAGGTCTTGGTATAATAGCAAAAGTTTTACAAGAAAAATATCAAGATTTTCTTTTAAAAACCTTGTATATAGTGATTGAAAGAGCAGGTAATTTATGGAAATTATAATCCGTTACAAAAAGTTTAATATGCATTGAGAAATTATACCAAGTCAATAATATGTTTAATATTTGCATTATACGTATTTACTATAGTCTTTATAAAATTGATTAAAACTTATCTTTTGAAATGTATATGTTTGTGCCTGAATAATATATATATTTTCTTATTTTTCACATAGGCAATAAGCATAGTTTGTTAAGGAGTTTAGGTCTTTCGACTCTTGAAATTATTACAACGTCACAAAAATTAAATACAGTAGGAGATTTATTTCGCGTAAATTGTGACTATATATCTTATCATGTAACTGTAAAACTACGTAGAGTAGAAAGAAATCCAGGGGTCTTAAATGTTGTAGAGGTTGTAACGAAATACAGCACAATGGACTTTCTTCCACAATTAAAAGAGATTGTTTATGACTTACTTTTACAATCTGGTTCTAATATTCAAAAACGTAACACACTGTCTTTTCTTAAAGTTTTTTATGCATTTGTGATATGCATTAAACGATTAACGTCTAAAAGTGATTCTGAGAATAAACATGAACCAAAGTGTCTTAAGCCATCAGAAATTGTTATAAATAACTTTTTACAATATTACAATTCTGTGAAAGATTCAAAATTATATGAAAATGAAAACAATGATTGTGACACGGATGAGAATGTAAATAATATTTCCGAAGCCGATACAAATGCAGATTTTCATCGAAACTCTGACTTTAGTGAAGGTATTTTCTATTTTATGGCATTAAAGATTTTTTACTTTATACTTACTAATAAAATATAACTTTATCACAGATGAAAAAGAAGCCGAAGTTCCTTATTTTATCACTATGATTAAAGATATTATGAAACATTGTTTGCATTTTTTGCCATCGTCAAACTTTAATGAATCGTCATTAGCAATATCGATATTGAAAGAAGGTGCTTTTATTTTGAAGGAATCAGAAAATGTGCTGTTACCTATAGTACACGAGCTTTGGCATCCATTGATTCATAGGTTTCAAAATTCAAATCCACTCATAATGAATCAAGCATTCCAATTATTATGCTGCTTGTGTCAAGTGTCTCAAGATTTTATTCGCTCAAGAACTCTAAAGTAAGAAATTTATATAATATAATTTGTAATTTGAAATAAACTCATTAATAATTATTGAAATATTTCTAGACAAATATTACCACAATTATCAAATTTCTTAACAAACTCTGCTAAAGAAAGTTATAAAAAGAATTCAAGGTGTATTTATAAATATACTCAAACATTTAAATTACAAAGAGAAATTTTATCGCAATTAGGATTTATTGTAAAAAATTTAAAATTATTTGAAAAAGATACATGGGATATTTTAGAGACCGTTGAACCCTATCTCGATAGCTCACAACATCAACAACTTCAGGTACCTAATATAAATATTATTAGTAAATACAAACATAAATTAGAAAGGAAGGTATCGTATAAGGTGTTGTACAATTATTACTTCACTTCTTTTTTTCTTGTTTTTCTTTTTTGTTTTTTTATTTTCATAGGAATACTGTGTAAATTTGTACAAAGATGTTTCTGATTATAATACGGATCTTGTTTGGATGAAGTGTATTGATATTTGGCATCGACATGTAGAAACTGTGGTCCCTGTATGCGATTATAGCGAATGGTATTCCAAGGTATATATTGAATTTATTATTTAAATATTTTTATTGTTTAAATACAATTAAATGTCATTAAATAATATTATTATTATTATTATTTTTTTTTTTTCGATTAGGCAATGGATTTTAATGGCAAAAATAATTATTACAAAAATATACAACAAATTTTAACATACATACGTGTAAAGCGTGAAAGATTGTAATTATTTGTATCTATACTATTGTATTTTTCATATTTATATGGTTTTATAAATATTTTAATTAAATTCATAAATGTTTGTTATATAATCGAAAGTCAAACTATTTGCAATGATAAGATTCGTGGAAATTCTTGTGTTTTTTAAATTTACAATAGTATTAACGAGTTTGTGTTAAATAATATACAGTTCTTTATGAAAATTTTTTGTTATATTGAGTTAATAGTTTTTATTAAGTAAAATTTTAAATACTTTCAAATCTTGCTTTGCTGAGAAAAATTATGTCGAAATTTTGTTAATTCTTTTAATGCATTTATATTTTCTCAAACTAAAACAAACATCATTTATAAATTAAATAAAATTCAATTTTATAACTTTTGATAATACAATTACTTTAAAATATATAAATTCATAAGTACATTAGATGAATATTTCTTTAGTACAACATTTTTTAATGAAAAAAAAAAGTTCTAAATAGTTTACATTATTTCTAAATATGTTTTCAGTGAAAGATAAATCTAAAATTAAATCAATAATGATTTCAATGACTTTTTAAACATCAAATAAGATATTTACTTAATGGATAATTTTTTAAAATTTGTAACGAAAGTATTAGTTAATTATAGATGAACTAATTACTAACAAATATATTTTTTTATTGAAATATTCACATGAATATCTTAATGATAATGTTAATAAATATAGTAGTTTAATCGTATTGATTAAAATTATCAGAATTTTTTTTAATTTTACTACATTTAGTATCGTGTAATGTATTATTTAAATGAATTTCTAATGTCATGTATAATACGACGATGTATTAATTCATAAAATATATAAGAATTTTCAACCAGCGATTTCAGCAAACTTTTTTTTCTCTACATTTTTTACTAAAACTTGATTGTATTGCAACATTAAAACTGTATAAATAAAGCCTATATTTTTATAAAATCTTTGCGTCTAGTATGCATTTATAACAATATTAAGACAATAATGTTGATAGTACTAGATAATCAGCGATGATTTTAATTAGATTAGTTAAAAAAAAAATAATACTATGTAAAATACGAATACCGTATCTGTTAAAATCGATAGAATTTCCAAATATTTCAAATATTTCAAATTCTTTCAGTGTCAAATAATAAAAACAAATTTAGTTATATTTGGCAATAAATGAATAATTAAACACTGAATTTGAAAATGCATTAATTAAATCAAAATATCATTTAAAGAATGTTTTATAATGTATAATGTAAAGTATACGTATATTATAGTTTATAACTATATTAATCATGAAATATTTATTGTATTAGCTATATGTATAATAGCTATATATTATTTTTAAATTATGATTGAATAAAAATTACATATATATATATATATATATATATATATATATATATATATATATATATATAGTTGAAAATACTGTGTAAATAAGATGTAAATAAATAAATGAATGAAATAAAATTATTATTAAAACAATTTGGATTTTTGGTCAATTTTATGTCCAGAGTATATAAATAATTTTAAAACATTGAATGTGAAAATCTTTTATTTCATTACGTAAAAATTAGAATTTAAACTATTTTCTTTGAACACCTGAATATTCTCTAAGTAAAACATTTATGTAATTTTAACTTATATGTAAGAATAGAATAAGAACGTGATGTAGTAGTTTACAAAACCAAGTGTTTGTATTTTTTATGTACATGTAAATGTTTGTTTTTATTAACATTATTATTTAAATTTGGCATATTATAATGCTGATGTAAATATGGGTTAAAACAAAAATTGATAAAAACAAACTTTACTTGTCATTAAACAATAGTTGATTTTATCGTCGTTAATCATGAAGATTTGATTTTATAATTCTTAAAAAGTATTAACATACTAATATAGACTAGTCCAACGATACAAAAGATCTTATATTATTATAATTTTATCTGTACATTTAATATATCCCCCTATGGAGTTCGACCTTTTCCCTTAATAACTTTATTACACATAATTACATTTTAAGTTGCGCAAGAGCTATCGAGGTAAAGAATATTTTAAACATACTATGATTTTCATATACTTTTTCGTCTTGAAAATTAATTTTTCCTAATTAAATATAATACCAATTACAGTAGATATTACAATTGTAAGAGAATAAAACTCAATTTTCCCAATATTATGAATATTCTAATACATTTATGTAATTAGTGAAAAAGAATTAATTGTAAGGGTGTAAGAGGAAAAACATTATTAATTATAATAAAATTGGTCAATCTTAAACACTGAATGTACAATAATAAGCTAATATATATCGTCCAACAATTTTTTTCACTACCTAATTATAATTCAAAACCTATTTTATAAATTGGATTTATTTTATATTAAATACAATGTGAACGATATTAAAGGTACGTAGTACAATTCAAATTGTATTTATATTACATTAAATATTATTAAACATCTGTAACAAAGTTTCAAATTTTCATTCTAAAAGTTTAATAGTAAATTTTTAATACTTAAATATTTTTCTTTTCGAAATGAATTATTAACATGAATTTTATAAAATCCGGCAACTTCGCTATTTATAATTCTCAAAATAAAAAAGTTTAATACATTTATTCTAATGATATTTTTAAAATATTTTATGAATTAATATGTACTGTCCTTTAGGTCCCTGAATCATAATTTACAACTATTATATGCCTATTCAAGGATCTTTGGATTAAATAAGTAGATTCGATTGTTTATATGTGCAACTCTGTACGTATATATGTAATTAATATAATGAATAGTCATTTATGAAACTATAATAATCGGTGGTTAAAGAACTTAGATGCCACAATTGCCATATTATCTATTGTGAATAGAAGCAGACTAAGGGTCCAAAAATGAAAGATAACTTTGAATTTCCTATAGAGTCATCATTTCCATGCCTGTTTTTGTAACTTTTGTGACGCCAACTTCTTCGTAATGTATGAAGAAATTACTAAAGCGGCGAGTACTATGACAATCAAGTAATAGTCAAAGTCTTCTTTTAAAACGTCAAAGGTTTTTGATGGTGCTACTCTGGTATAAAATAGATCTACAATAACATAATTTAAATTAATATTTTAGTTTTAATTGAAGAATATTCGTGTTTCTAATAAGACGTAAAGTAAAGACGCCTTATAAAGTAGTAGTGCAATAAGAATTCTTAAACTCTGAATTAAATATACAGAAATCTTTTTCATCGTCTAGTTATTCATTAGAAAATAGTTGTGAACTTTCAAGTATATAAATACATGTGGCACATTTTGAATTACAATAATCCACTATATTACGATTTTAATAAAGAAATTTGATGGTGAAAATTTCTAGCTGAAGAGTATCTTAACGATCGTTTAAAAATTTTTAAAAGTTTAATAAATTGATATATTAGTTATTTGACAATCAGCAATATTAAAAGCTATTTAAAGTTGTAATAAGAATCTTAAAAGACCAGTTTTGTTTTGTTTTGTTTTTTAAACGTTTCAATATTAAAAAAAAAAAAAAAAAACAATATAATTGTTAATTGATAGTTTAAAAAAATAATAAGCTCTATGGCATTAAATTCTATAAGATTGTCGATAAAACGAGATTTCAACTTATTGACAATTATTAACATCTTATTAATGTTTCGTTACAAATTAATTAAACAATTAAATAATTATGCTATTACAAATGTTAATGAAGCCGTTAAAGCGCAAATCATATGATAAAATGATAAAAACTTACCTAGACCATGAACAAAAACTAGACATGTGCTTTCAAGGCCACTTGGACTTGTATGAATACCAGAAATTCTAAAAACGCTTTGATTATAATTTATAATGCCATCAACGTGAATTGGTAGCTCAGGCATGTAAGGAATAACTCCTTCTTCTCGCATTTCAGGATTAATTGACCTTCTTGGATCAACCAACATCCAAGGTAGCTCTAAAACTCCTCCATTAGCTAAAGCCACTAAAATAAAGTTTATTCCATCAATATATCCGCATCAGTAGATTGAAAATAAACAAAGCAAAGCAAGAAATTAAAAACAAACCTAAAATATGTTTGCTAGTAATGCCTTTCTCAGTAATTGTTTCTCGCATCGATTCTATCGAAGCAGGAAAAATAAATGCTTGCCTTTCCACTATTGGTAACTTAGTTGTAGTCAACGATGAAAAAACTGTAATATAAATGATCGATAATTGAATCGCAATTTATTGTCCGTGAATATTATTATATTATTTAATAATCTTTAAGGCAATGTGTTATAATATATAGTAATATTAGATGTTCTAACCTGTCATATTACTCTGGGTTTTTCCTTCGTACAGTTCAAGGGTTGCTATTTCTGTTCTACGACTTTTCTCGTTGAAGTAACTATAAACTAACCAGTTTTCGGAATGAACAATATGAACGGGCCCCTTAGTTCGTTTATGAACGATGGAGAAAACCATGGAACCCGATACAACATCCAATAAATATAAATTAAGTGTATCTGAAAAGAAAATAATTATAGAAAATATATTTCCTGATGAATTTTCTATAAATATATAATAGATAAGTCAACAATTTTACGAAATGGAATTTCATACAATAAAACGTACCGCTTCAATGCAAAAATGAATGCTTAATTACATTTTCTTTAAGAACGTGTAAAATATCCATATCTTATTATATTACAAAAATAGGTTCTCTTAATAATAATTTTATGATTATAACTAAAAGGTGATTGTCTAATTAATTTTACAAACAACACTAGTAGATCGTAAATTAAAAATTTTGACAGCATTAAATTCCAATTTATCTTATATCAAAATAAATTTCGTAAATACTTTTTTTTCTTTTTTTTTTTTTGTTTTTTTTTTTAATCCTACATTTTTCTTAATGCCGATAGTGCTATATTTATAAATTTTATCGAAAGTAAAAACATTTTAATGCAACAAGCGCGATATTAATAGTGACATAAATCATGGCGTCGCGTTAACCATTCGTAAGCAAGAAAATATTTAAAAAAAGTTCATTACTCTTCTGCACGCTGCTGGTCCCTTGCGTAACAATAGCTACGAGATTGGGATTGATGTACTTGTAGAGTACCGATCTGTCGCCCAAAACTCGACCTTGAGAATGGACGCGCTCGATGGGGTCCTTGGAGACGACGTGAGTTATTCGCTGATTTTTCGGCGAAAGCACCAATTCCCATACCTAGTAACAATATAAACAATAAAATTTCATAAATAAGACTGAGCACCGATCTGCCACCCTCCTTCGCAATAAGGGGACATAAAGATGCGTGTCGCGTGTCGCGTGTCGCGTGTCGCGTGTCATGTGTCATTAAAGAGCGAGAGGGTGAGAGATAGATAGAGAGGGTGAGAGATAGAGAGAGAGAGAGAGAGAGAGAGAGAGAGAGAGAGTGAGAGAGGGCGGGGGGATGGAATTATAATGATAATTTATAATAAACTACGCGCCTTATTGGCGATGAGATTCTGGGGAGTGCTGTAGGAGAACGAGTATCCGGACAATATGCCCGAGGCCTTGTCGACGGTGAATATGTAGGTATTACGGCCAACGGAGGTCGCGACCGCAGTAGCGCTCTCCGGGTACACGTAGGCCCGGTCGCGCTCGTCGAGGATGATGATGCTACGAAGGAAGCTATCGGTCGTCACGTGCAGGAGCATCGACTGCTTCACCCGATAGTTGAGCTTCGTAAGGCCGTCGAGGGCTTGGCCGTTTATCGGATTGAAGGTAAATATCACACCGCTGCCGGTATCCTAAATTAAATGGTAAAGAGCATTTATTAATAAAATAAACTGTTACGATTACATACACTGTGTGTATATTTTATCTATACTGGGTACGTATGTTTAAATAGGGAATGCTTAAATTCTATATTATAAAATTAACGTTTGAATGCAGGAAGACTTTTTTTTCTTTCTTTTTTTTTTTTTTTTTTGTATTAAATCACTCGACTTGAGCGCTGCAATACTAACTTTGTCGGCAGCGAGCAGCGAGCACTGAGGTGGATGTGGAAAATGTCTACTTCCACGCTGAACGTATAGGACCATCTGATCAGATTCCTTGGAAAATCCTTGAATATTAGGAACTCTAAGTTGCCAAATGAGCTCACCTTTTTTCGATTCAATTCCAAATATCTGAGGAGAAAAAAGAGTATTGGCATTGCAATGATTTCAATGCTACTGTATATACGCATTTGCGGTTATATTATATTAATTATTAAAATATAGTTAATAACCTTTCCGGCAGACGTGACAGCCACGATCATTTTATGCAAACCAAATTTATCGCGAACCAAATCGGCCCGTTGGTTAGATTGCTGTGGCTCTAGACCCAAAGCAGCTTGAATAAATGCTTTCACTTGATTCGCTTGAGAACTTAGTCGTCGCACTAGCATACCAAATACATCCCCTAATATAAATTATTTTGTTAGTTTTTTTGTAAACAGTGTTTCTGGGATGAGTCAAACTTATTAAAAGGTTAACGTGTTGATATATAACTTGAAAGGTAATTGCTAAAGTACATGAATTATTTAGGCTTAATAATTAAATGCCAAAAAAAAAGCAAAAAAAAAAAATTTCAATATTCATTGGACATATAATTGCATAATTACAAATATTTACAATTTACACCTCGAATATTATCAATACATCTTGTAATTTATTTTTTACGCAAAAATATCCTTAATTAACGACGGTATAACAAAGAATATCCAACATTTTAATTCAAAACTTTGTTATTTTTAATTTATCGCTCCTATCGTTCATATTTAATAGAAACGTATTAAGATTTCATAAAATGAATATTAACGTGTAATTCAAATTTTATGTCCTAGAAATTTTAATTACATGGATAATAAAAATGTATAACATTAATTTATCGTGTCATTCGCTTTCAAATATATGTATTTTTTCAATTCTAAAATTTTAAAGCTACAAAACCAAAACGAAAATACTTAAAATACTTAAAATACTTTAAACTTTCATAAAGTATTATTATTACTATTGCGTACTAAATTTTTCTAATTTTATTAAAGCACAATAAATGCCAAATAGCATAACATTTTGTATGAATGTTAAATAATTTCACAAAACGGTTCATGCTACAAGAATTAAAAGAAGTAAAGCGTAGTCACATTGTAATTCATGCAAACTATTAGGGAATATAACATATAAAATCTATTTTAATATTCCTTTATCGAAAATTCGAAATACAAGAGTTAAAAATTCATGCCATTACATTACAATTTTATGGTACACTATTCAATGTCAAACGATAATTTAAAAAAAAAAAAGCTTATTCCATTTCGCTACTTACATGTACTGTCTACATCAAGACCTGATAGCAGCCGTTCATAGAAGAAATTTGTTAATATTATGTTATACATACTTAGAGTATAAAAATTGTTTTATTTCATTTTATTATTTTATTTTTTATATGCCAAATAAATTTTTTCGCAAGGTAATTCATGACCACTTGTTTATTATGTTATTGTAAGATAATAAATGTATAATACTTTGTTCGACATTTAATAATTATATTTGCTTACTTTCTTTTAGATCGAATTCTGTTTCAATGGCTTGATCACGATCTGACATCGGTAACTCCACGATCTCAACTGCTACGATGCGAGCCAGCGCTTCTTCTCTCGTCCACAGTACTTTTTTATCCAATAGACTAATGCTGTGATCCTCCGAAGATAATAAGAATTTACAGGCATATCTCTTCAGTGATTTGCAAGTACACGTGGTCGCTACAATTTCAGGTCTGTATAAATCATTGTGAATTATACGATGTAATTTTTCAGACTGAGGTTCATTTTCATTTAGATAGGTTGCCATAACTGTTGTGATCTTAAACAAAAAGATATAAGTCTAGCTCGCTTGATGCTACATTAAAGCTGTCGATTTGATTTAAGAATTACATTCTTCGTAAATAATTTAAATTAATTCTAGGCAATTATAAATGTAAAGCTATACGTTTTTGGCAATATCCTCTTTGTTGAAAGTAAACAGAAACGAGAAAATTTATGTTCTATCGAAATATTGTATCGAAGCTTTAACTCACTTTATCGTTGTACGATAATTCTAATACCACTTTTTTATCATCAAAGTTAGTAATATATACGGAATTCTCCCCGTCGATGTCATGAGGAACTGGTGTCGGTTCATTTTCAAGTAGGAGCAGTCGCTTTCTTCGATTATTGTCGGTACTAATTGATATCGCAGCTATATTACCAGGAACTAAGGAAATTCGATAAGGTCCTTCAGCTCCGGCACCAAATATGGTATTAATTGTTATCGATTGTGGTTGAGATTTCGGTTCAAAAATATTGATATAAAATAATATTGCTAAGCTACTGTCACCTTTCAGGCAAATAAAATATGGAGACGCTAAAACACATCTAAAACATAAAAATATTATTTTATATTCTAATGGATGCTTAAGTGAATTAATTTTATATACCAACTGACTCTGTTTCCTGTGATATAAATGGTGCAGAGATTTTTCTGCTTTTTAATTTTTCTCCTGTTTTACTGTCGTATGCAGTAACTTCGACACCACTGTTATAAATTGGCAGAATATGATATAAAGTTCCATCGTTAATATGCCATTGAACATCTTCTATTCTGCAAAATAAAAATTTTAATTTTGATAATGATTTCTTTTTAAAACAAGAATAAATACATAAATATTAATACATGTTTACGAGATAAGTTAGATAGAAAATATTATTTGAATTCCGATTGAATTAAATAAAAATTAAAAACAAAACAAAACAAAACATAACATTTATCTGTGATAAGATATTGTGTACTTTTGAAAATTACAAGATTGACGTTTAAAAAAAACGAAACAATTAAAATGTGCATCAACGTGAATGTTCATAAGTTTTTAAGTCTTTAAAAAAGAAACCTTTCTTTACAGTAAAGCCCTTCTGTTGAATATGATATAAATGGAGAATCAATTCTGAAATTATATAAATGATAAAATTAAAGCTATCATAATAATAATAAACTTTTGCATCGCTGCTATAAATATTGAGAGCTACTTAATAAAGTATTATCGATCGTTTCAAATGTTGAAAAAATAACCCATATTTATCGAATAACCGACCTATCTGGATTCTGTTCCGCTATTGGCCACTCGTTCAAAATATGACCAGTCGTCAAATTCCAATATCGAACTATCGCTGGAACTCCACCGTTAACCAAAATTAATTCATCATCTGCAACATTACTAAATGCTCTAATGCGACCAGCGTATCCCTTCTCTAATACTCGTCTCCATAATATTTGACCTATTTTAAAATAAATAAAAAAAAAAATTACATACATACAGACATATATATATATATATATATATATAAATGAAGCACTAAAAACATTTAACTTTAATAATTATAAAATACCTGTTTTAATATTTAAAGCTGCGATAACATTTTCTTCCGTAGCGACAATAATCTTTTTTACTTGTGAAACATTATCAAAATTAGCAAATTTGATTTTACCTACATAATTTTGCCTCCTAAAATAAGATAATGTAACGATAATGTAATAATTTTTCAATAAACAAAATATAAATAAAAGCTATGAGAAATATTATTTTATAGTTTTTAGCACTAATTGAAATCAGTAATTAACGTAAAACCTTACTTTACTCGAACATATTTCTCATTCAATCTAATTAATGTCAAATCATCAAGAAAATTTTAAATAGGAATCATTGATTGGAAGTGTATCGTTTATTTACGTTTCTAATCATATCGTCACGTAGACTAAATAATTAAAAAATCAAATCAAGTCACTTAATTAACCTTTTAATTCACAAGTCATATTGCAAGTGCGATAATTAACAAACGCAATATTATCGCATCGTCGGCGATAAATAAATAATCTTACTGGAATAGAATTGTGCAAGCAAGTAGACAAAATTACAGAATACGGGGTAATTGTAAAGAATAGCAGATGCCTGCGTTTAGATTAATTAGAGGATCTGACGAAGTTAGGTGTGGAAGTGGAAGTTAGGTATGAACAAATTGTGTACATTGTCGACGTACTTACCAGTCAAATTTTCCTACCTGATCTTCGTACAAGCATAACGATAGATTAAAAAGACTGAGAAGGACTATAAAGTACTGGAAAAATTGCGAATCAATGCAAAACCGGTTAAAATTTCCACGGAAAATCGTGAGAATCGGAGGAGCCATGGCATTAAAGTGAATATACGAGGCGAGGGACACGACCTGGTCTATATAATATAGAATACATAGACTATAATAACACTTAAATTTTGTTTAAATGCACCAGGTGTCGACACAAATGTACATTGGTAAGTTTTCCTTCTTCTTCTTTTGTTTTTTTTTTTTTTTACAAATTTGACTTGTTTTTTACATGTAATTTTGAAGAGAAGGATTTTCTGACAACCGTACTGACAGATCCATAATTATGAAGAATGTTGAGTTGAATATCCGGCAGTTGGTGAAACTGAACCATTCGCTCGCGCAATGTTTAAACATAACGAATTATTAAAATAAGAATTAGACTTAAGATTTGATAATGCTTGGTCAAATAATACCGAAAGAACGATAAAATACGTTGTATTATATATAAGAAAATTTCCCTTATCATAACACCGTTGTTCACAAATTTTTCTGACTTTTGAATAATCAACGAAATTTCATATCAGTCTTGCTAACTTAAATTTTCCATCGCTATTATTAAGAACATCCCGATTGAAATTAATATAATTGTTGACTGGATTTGTAGTTTGTAGGTTTTTAATTCTACCTGGTTTCACCTGCTGCTACTTAGTTTACCAACTGAAAGTTGATAGAAGGCGATATGTAATAATATTTCGATATTGCCGTTTTGCAATTGATGTTAAAGATTAATTTTGAAAGCCGGTATAATAAATGAAAAGAAATAATAAATATTAGTGGGCTGATGTATATTTTTTTTTTATTAGAAATATATTGCTTTATGTTTTATTATTATTATTATTATTATTATTATTATTATTATTATTTCAATATCAATTACACGCAAAGAGTTATTTAACTTGTAATCGAGAATTTATCGAAAGATTTTATAGTTCTAACCTAATAATTTTTAAAAGACATGTATTTATACCGTTGTTTTAAATAATTCAGTCTATTTTTGGGTAATAAAGTTTTTACTGCTCTTAGTTATTAAATATTAATGTAAAATCTAAATAAATGATAAATTATACATTAGTGCACTATGGGCATTTCTAGTATCAGTTTGTATAATATTTTTGATATAGTTTTATTGAATGTTTGATAATTTCTTACTTGCAGAAGAAAAATGAAAGCCAATGCTTGTTTTTAACAATAATGGTAAACAAAGTTGTATTTAAAAATGGAAATAAAAGAGCCAAAAAGAAAGAAACGAATAAGATTAGAACCAAAGTCATCTTTACCGTTAGTATTTGGTAGTAAAGGTGAATTAACAAAATTTCATGCAAATTTAACATCCTTAGGATCATGCATAGCCGATCCTACAGAAATGGAAATGATTTTTAAAATGGTGAATATATTCTTACATAATAATACTTATATAATTAATAATATGAATTAAACTAAAATTTGTTTTAAAATAAAAATTTTAAGTGCAATAATTTCTTGTTGCATATTGCAACGTAGATTAAATGTTATATGTTTTAATATAAATATTGATAAAAATATGAAATCATACTTTAAGCTATGATTACACACATTAAATTATCACAATATTTTTCGTGTTTTAATGTTTGTAGGGATATTTTGGCAAAGGATCTTTATCAAAAAGTCATCCATCGTTTGGAAGAATTCGATATGGTGCGCCACCCATAATTCGTAATCGCCAATGGAAACGACGTCAAGATTGGATTAGCGAAGTACGAAAACTTAGCATAGAATCTTTTTTGGGTGATGAAAAGAATGAGAATGACCAATCTGAAAATGATGATAAAATAAATAAATATAATAAAGGTATTTATGTTCTGGAATAACAATTTTAATATTGGCATTCATTCAAAATTACTCAACCTTATTTACGCTATATTCATAAATTGCTTTTGACTATTTTAGATAATAGTCACACTGCAGAAAATGTAGATGAAAAATTTAGAGATTCGAGCGACGTTAACGAAAGAATTAATAGTAATTGTGATGCAGATAATTTAGCGGTTTCAGAAACTCTTCCAAATAATGAAAAATCAACAAATGATATTGAAATTTTAGATAATGAAATAAATAATATTCAAACTAATGGTCAAGATAATCAAGCACATATGGAAATGGAAGTAGATGAGGTTGTACTTGATTCTACGGAAGAAGAAGATATTTGTGAAACTAAAGCGGATAATCATCAGCCAAATAATTTTGATAAAGATAATTTAATTGATAAATGTCAAGAAGTACAAATTATTAGTGAATATAACAAAGATGGTTCTGACTTACAAGGAAAAGTATTAGTTTTACCAGATAGTGATTCCGATACAGAAAATTATTTGACAGAAATAAAACCAGAAGTAAAACATGAAAACTTTCCAGTAAGAGAAACTTTACATCTAACATTTGAAGAAACATTTTTTTTAATGTATGGTCTTGGATGTCTGAGAGTTATAGATTTTGATGGGAAATATCTTAATATCGAAGAAATATGGAACTATTTCTGTAAAGAACAAAAATGTTTCTTACAAAAATATGTTACATATCATTATTTTCGTAGCAAAGGATGGGTTGTTAAATCTGGTTTAAAATATGGTGGAGATTTTTGTAAGACACTTATAATTTGACTTTATTCTGCTATTGTTACTTTAATTTAAGAATTCAAAAAAATTTTCAGTATTATATAAAGAGGGTCCACCATTTTATCACTCTTCCTATATAGTAATAATAGATGTTTTGGATGCAGTCACTTTTAAAAGAATCGAAAATAAAACAATGCGAAATATGACATGGAATAAATTTATCGGCTTAGAAAGATTGGCAGAAGCTGTTGGAAAAGTATACATATCAATACATTAATACAGTATTATACATATCAACACATTATATAATTACTTTAATAATTTTCTTTTTTTTTTTTGTTATAGGAAGTTTTATTTGCACAAGTATTATGGCCATCTTCAGTACCAGTCGATATAATTCCAATATCTCCAGATGTTTTGGCCCAATTTACCGTTAGAGAATTATTATGGAGGCGATGGAAACTGAATCAAGATATATCATCTATTAATTTAGAAGATGATGACGAAGATGGCTATTCCTCGTAGATCTTACTGAGAATAATTTAATAAGCATATATTTTAATAAGTAAGATCTTCATATCATATTAAGCAGGTATTTATGTGTTATTTTTCAATATAAAATTCATTATATTTATTTACTTATTTATTACTAGATGGTCAACATTCTTCTTTACATATAAATACTAAGTAAATTAACAACAATGTTTCAAGAAATACTGAGAAAATGGATAACAATTGCAATTAAATTCCAATAGAAAACAGTTAGAAATTGAATAGTACAAAGTAAACTTGAATATCGTATATTATAAAAAGATATTTATTACTTTCTGCAGTCACCTTTCAAGTTTTTTCATTTAATAGCTTATTATAAGCTTAAATTTGTAATCATGATGATATAATATCTTATTATGTATAGTAATTGCCATTATTGTATAAAATTCTTCTCCTAAAACTTCAATTATAATATAAATTTAATACAAAAATTTATATAGCAAGCTGTAAACTAATATAAAAATCATGATAGTAATGAGGTATATATTTGTAATAAATTTGCCTTTAAGGAATGCAAAATTGAAATAACATATTGGGATAAGCTTTATTAAATATTATGAAGTTGTCATTAAACATAATCGATTTAATCAATGAAATATAAACAAAAGACAGTGCCGGATATTCGATTTAATATTATTTATAATAAAATTTTGGCTTTAATATCTAAAAGTCAAATTAATATTTTTAAAAATCAAGAATTTTATTTATAAATATTGTAACTAAATTATTATTCCAATAGATACAAAATGTACTAAAATAAATAATTATGAAATATAATTTTAATCATAATTCAACCTTGATCTGTTTCCAGATAAATTATTAGTTAAAATAATTAGTTATAAACTTGTAATTATAGTAGTTTTTATTTATTATCCAATTTATAAATTATAAATGAGATTGAAACATACAAATCCTTCTCTCATTTTCAATATTTATACATAATTAGCTACACGAGTTTTTAAATGTCTTATCTTTTTAGGTTCTCCAGTTCTTCTATATTCTGATCTTTCTTTTATATAATATTCTGTACATTCGTTCCAAAATTCTTTATCATTATACCATTTAATTAAACAATCTTTAAGTATTGTATTTACATTTTGACACTTAAATACCATTGCATATTTGTACTCGATACAACATTTTTCAAAAGCTAAAAAAAAGTTCATTAAATTTTATTCTAAGAATAAAAATTTTAAAAGCTCACCTGCTACTTCTGGTACACATTTTTCTTCTCTTGCTTTATTTCTAACTATTTGTGCTACAAGAACGTCTTTCTCAACTTTTCTTAAAAATCGATCATCTGGATCCCCTGTATATTAAAAAAATGTTAAATATAAAATAGGAGTAGTTTTCAAATTAAATATTTGTGTTTTATTTTCCATGTTATAATGTGTAATAAGTTAATTGTTAAATTTTTATGTATATACAGCAAGAAAACTTAACCTACAAACGCTTATTAATTCAAGAAAGATTTAAATGAAATTTAACCTATTCCATGTGGACCTGCTCCATATCTTTCATGTATAATCGTATAATTTTTATTTGCATTTGACATTTTTTTTTTTTTTTTAATTAATTGTAAATACGCAATAAATTAATATTCTTTTTGGTCTCAAATTTTTAAGCCAAAGTTTGATTTATATGAATACCATATAATGTTATCCTTAGTTATTAATAGTTTGACAAAATTTACAAAAACCAAGTAGCTAATTTAAACCCATTTAATTATAAAAAAGTTAGAAATATTGATTTTTGATTAAATTAAAAAGTTGCTTGGATATTGTAGAGAATATAAACCTGAACTTATGCGAAAATCGAGAAAGCAAGTAAATGGAAAAAATGAGAAAAGTCAAAGTGCCTATAGAATAATTATCATATTCTGCAAATTTTAATAATCTTCATCTTATCTACTAATGCATATACAATTGAATTTCATATTTTCCTACAAGTTACGCAAATTTCACGTTACGAGCATGCTAATCAATTAAATATTTCCATTATATATAATATTTGTATTGGGAAAATAATTTGAATAGTGTTGAGATGGCGCTTTTTCGTCATTTTGCTATAAGAATCAAATGCAAATTGAATAATGAGCGAAACATAAAAATATAAAAATATAAAAATACTAATTAATTATATTGATAGTTATTTAAAAATTTTCAAATATCAGTCCCATCAGCTTGACATTCTTAAATGTCATTGGATTTTAAAAAAATCTTTATAATCTAACCATACGCAATTACAATCTGTATAAATTTCTATTTTATCAAATTTACGTAAATGGCAGTTAAGAATACAATAAACAACTAAATATATTTATTTGAAAATAATATATAACAAATATCATTATTTTATTAATTCATCAAAGTCGAACTCTCCTAACTACCTATAAAAGTTAAATTAATAATAGTTTTAAAATGTTATTGGTTCACTTATCCTTTAATTTCTACGAATATAGTATCGAAATGTTAATTTTTTTATTTCGATCCTCATTCAAGGAACGATAAAGTCATCGTTATCTCGCCACTTACTCACCGATTCAAATGATTTATTAGTATGTACTTTTCCTTCGTTAAACAAATTGCATAACAAATTTCGTGTTTAGATACTTCACATTTTGCATGTTGTGTACTTTTCAGTAATAAGTGTTTACTGACAATTGCTGATAACGCTTAAAAGCATAATTCTAATATATATATATATATATATATATATTCATATTAAAAAAGAATTTTGTTCAATGCAATTATCCCATATTATCATAGTTTATTTAAAATCTCTTACTCAACAAATTTCTTATTTTCAAAGTATTATCAAAACTCCGAGGATCGCATTATACTTAGTCTACCGCAAACTTTCCGTATCCATAAGTATTTGCCACCAATATAAAATTTATATAATGATGTAGAAATAAATAAAATGTCCGAAAGAAAGTCACATCTACTCAATCGCTTTATATGTACATTGTAAAATTATTTATATCATTGTGTATATTTTAAATATTTTTATATATTTTATACATTGCTCGTTAATTTAATGCGGTGCTATAATTGCATTATAAGAATTAATTTCTGGATATTATTGACACCAGTGAATGAAAAAAAACAAACATTTGGCATTCTGTAAGCATATATAGTTTAAATACTTGCGAATGGCCATTGTATCGATTGCATCTACCTTCGTTTATTTTATTGCCTTATACCTCGGCTTTCTTTTTTCTAATCTACAAGTCGAGTCAACAAAAACATGACTTTTTAACAAACTCAATGTTATTTATATTTCAATAAATAATTAAAATAACACGTATGCTACGGATCTCTACGAAACGACATCATCAGATATTATAAAAAAATTTAATAAATAAAAATTAAAATAAATATTAAGGATAAAGATAATATCATTTATCCCTTAAATTTATGTTATGCGCCAAATATAGTGGAAATTAGGTTACTTGTATTTGCCTTTTTTCTTCTTTTTTTTAAGTACATCTTTAATTTTTGAGAGATCTTATAACTCATAATTAATTATCGACTCATAAATTAAAAATCTATGTTCTGATTATCAGGGTTTAATCTTATTTATATTTTATTTATGCGAGAAGTTCTTTTAAATTTTAAAACAAATTATATGTACAAATAATGTGGTAAATTACATAAAAAAAATTAAATCCGATATTCAATATTTATTCGTAAACCAAAGTTGATGTGTTAATTATGAAATCATAAAAAGTATATTCTATTTATTAATTATCTATGGAGTAAATGAAGTTTGGGTTTTAAATTTCATTTTATTTACTTATTAAAATACTTATTTAAATAATATTAATAATAATAATAATAATAATAATAATAATAATAATAATAATAATAATAAATATAATGAATACCAACAACATATTAAAATAATTTATAGCAAATTTTCATTTATTATTACACGATTTTAAATAAAATTCAAACATAATTCATTTATATTAAATATATTATTGATACAAATAATTTCAAAGGATCAGTGCACTAAGTGAATTATATTAATTAATGCAAAGGAATTTATTGATGAAATTTAAGTAACATTATTAAAATTAATGGTGATGAATTTGAAATATTTATAAATGTTATAAATTATTACAATATTTGTAGAGCCAAATATTAAAAATTAAATCCACACATAACGATGGCTGACGATTTACGTTATGTCGTGACTCTTAGATTTTAAACAATTAACAATATATATCACTGTTATTGATAATATTAGGCAATAATATGACCATAATTATAATATAACGTGACTATGTTTCATAAGCATATGCGTGTATATGAAATTACTTTTCGAAAATTCGAGTATTGAACTTATTTAAGCTTATTAAAATAGTTACATCATTTCATCTTCAGAAATTATATATGTTTAAATAGTTTTTTTTTTTTCAATTTTGTTGACATTTTTAATAATTGAAGAGGAAAAATCAATTGTTCCTTGATAATCTAGACTGAAAAACAGGTCACATTAACGATAATAGTAATACAAGAATCAGGTAAAATTCGTCTATCTAAAAATCTCAAAAAATTACAATAGATTACAAATTACTATACTGATGTATACATATTTAACAAAGTGATCTAAATATCTGTTTATTCAGCTAGTATCGCGATATAAATCTCTCTAGTTTTGACTAATTACTTAAAACACATTTGACATTATGCTTTCCCTGGTTTAGTTTTTGTATCGAGTTAAAACTATAAAAATACTTGGCTCGCCAATGCAAAGAAAAATAAAACCTTTAAGCATAGCGAGTTTACATTTAGTCATGTTAGGTGTAATATATATATTTTTATCTATATACGAGCAAGTAAGAAAAATCTACACGAGTGACTATAGAAAAGCAGTCGTAAGCGTTCTAGGCTATTGAGATCTTCTGTTTTTGTTTTTTCTTTTTTCATATTAATATTTCAATTAAGAGTTTATGAAAAAATTATTAAATTAGAATATATTAATTTTATAAATATTTTCGTTAAGTTTAACTGTTTTTATCGACCGACGAAATCGCTTTGATCGTTTATCAAAAAGTGATAGACAAAAGCTGCCTTTTTTCTATCGCAAATTGCTTGCGTCGATTTACTTCTCTGATTTCGATCATCTCTACTCCTCGGTGAATCACGCAAGAAAAAGGAACCAAAAAGCGAGGCTAGAAATGAAAACGAAAAACTTTAATAATATTTATAAATAAATATATATATATATATTAATAGCTACAATTAAGTTATTATTATTATTATTATTTTTTTTTTAATATAAAACATGAAATTAAATTTTAACTAAAATTACTCATTGAAAACAAAATCATTGTGTGTAAGAAATAACAGTAGTTCAATGTTTAGTACACTTTTTAAATATAAAAATAATTTTACATAATTTTAGACTTTTAAATTAGATTTTTTAATGAATATTTTATATTAAGATCTCAAGTACACATTATTAATAAAGTATTACAGTCTTAAGACAATCATAAAATTGATTAGATTACACAATCAATGTAGATGGATACTTATTTTCAACATATTGTAAAATAGGATATTTTTGCAACCAAACAATATTGATTAATTATATATTTGAATAAGATACATTATTATTTGTTCTTTTAGGCTTACCAAGTGTTTTAGCATCCAACCCATTATCTTGTGTATGGGTCAGTAATTCTTGTAGAAAAGCACATATGTACAAAAATACTGTCCTTCTGATCTCGGGTAATTGCATAATAACCTAAAATATACATAGCAACCCTCTTGTTTAACAATTAAATATTAAATATTAAATATTTGGGAAAAAAAAACAAAATACCTAAACATTAATTAAATAAAAGATATAAATTTATAAATATTTATTTATATATAATACTATGCTTGTTGCACATGAAAATTACCTGTTTACACTGCAAATAATTCGTAGCAGCAGATAAACCAATCCTATGAAGATTGTATGGAACGAGAGGTTCGGCCGTGGAATCCAGAAGTAAAAGTAAAGCTTCGGCAACAGAGTGCACACTACCAGCTATAATATTATATCATTAAGAAAAATAAAATTATTTTCTATTTTATGTATAAAAAAATGATGTAATTGAATCTGCTTTCATTCTGAAAGGATACGCATTGGGTCTTGGCTACCATTATCAAGCCAGTCTCTAATGGCTAATATTTCACTGTGTAAACCCTGAGTTTCAAAAAGTCCTGGAGTCTTAATTCCATGTCGATAAAGTCTATCTACTAACAACCATATCTCTTTTGGAACATAATATGGATCTTGCGAGGTATTTTTATTATTTTCCTAAAAATTTTATATATAAAAAATATTTACTTTATACATAACAAATAACATTGTAAATTTATAAAGTTAATAAATGAATGATATATTTTTTTTATAACAATAATAAATTGACTTACCAATTCCATTATTCTACCAATAGGCACTTCTCTAATTGGAACTGGAATATGAACTAAAGCTTCTATCGAGCAACCAAAACAACTACGTTCATAAGTACCTACAATTTAAACAAAATGATAATAAAAATTATGTTTTTAACTGATATGAAAAGCAAAACTTGAATGCACTATTTACCTGTCACAGTTATAAAAATATCTTTTCCATTTACCAAATGTAAAACTAATATATCGTAAAGTTTATCTTCTCCTGAATTTAATTTCCAGGCAGATCGTTTGTCCACACAAACCTCAAGTTTTATATCACACTTTTGACCTTAAATGAAAAAAATTGTAATCAGAAATATCAATCAATCGTCTAAAAAAATTATTGCATGTTTAATTTTGATAAAATAGATGCAATGTGGATATTTATCGATTACAATGAACTAATTAAATGTAAATAAGAACCATTTAATATGACGATTGAAAATATGAAATTTCTTGAAAAAAATATATTAAAATCTACGAAATTAAATTCTATATAAAAACATTGATTTATAAAATATTTCTCTTAATAACCTCCATTAGTATATAATATAATATTGATCTCCCATAAAATATTTATTATTTGCTTTTTTATAAAAGCATATGCGCTAGTAAATTTATTTAACTTCTCTAATACAGTTAGTTACATATTTTAATCAATTAATAAAGTCTTAATTACCAGGCTCTATAAAATCTGTGTAAGGTGTTATTGATAACCATTCTTTACAATAGGAAGTATCGTCTAATTTTTTGATGAATTCAAATTTTACTGGTACCTGGTTATAAGAAAAGATAAAAACAATATCAATATTTTTACTATAAAATTAAATATTTTATGTTAAAGCTAAATTATTTGAAAAAGGAAGCAAACCTGGCCTGTATTTGCCACAATAAGCTCTTTTGCACACGGTTCATCAAATCTTAAAGTTTCATATATTATTTCAGTTGTATCAACAGTCACTTGAGGCAAGAATTCGTTTTCCAATTTATCTAACTTTTTCATAAGTTCTTCGTGAATTTTACGATATTTTGTCACATCTATTACCCTGACCTAAAATTACATATTGTTATATATTTTTATTCTATTTTATATTAATAATAATATAATTAATTACTTTTGAGTCAAACGTGGCGCTAACAGGTTTATGATCAGAAATTTTTAATTCTGGATGACTTTGATAAGTTAGGGAAGCTATAGGTTCACCTTTCCACAAAACACGGTCACACCAAGCAGGCGCCCTTCCTTTTTCACTAAAATAATATACAACTCAATATTTTTTTCATCCTGTATACTTCAATAGCTTATTTAATTATATATTTTCAATATAAATTTAAGATGTTTCTTAATAAGATTCAGATAAGTATCGATGTGTGTGAATGTGAATGATAAATTCAACATCGAAAATGTATTAACTATTCTATTATTATTATTATTATCATTATTATAAATTAAAGATAATGAATTTTTTAGTTTGTTTCAGGCAATAATAGAAAATAATAATAGACTTGAAGCAAAAAATAACTTATTTAGTATAATTATAAAGAATATAAAGTTCTTATTATTAGTATTAAAATTATTTAGATTTCAATTATGTTATAAATTTATATAAAATGCTCATATAATTGAGAATATTTCAATTTTCTTTTTTATATCAAGTATGAATATAATCTTTATAAAATACTTTTAACCAATGATTAATAATAGTTTTAAAATTTTAATGTCTGTTTCAAAATTAATAATTATTAAAAAAAACTTTTTTATCTAAAATAATTTTATTAAAAAAAATTATTATAAGCTCCACTATTCACCTCGAATCCCAATTATCAGTTCCTGGATCATACTTGTAAGTGGGTTTAAATTTTATTTCTGCTTCACGAAAGCCAACAAACACTCTGCTGAGTCTTCTTTGCTGTTCAAGCTGATCTAATGCTAATACAGGAGCGAGATTTCCATCTGCAATTAATTGTTTTGCTGTTTGCGCATCCATCTCGGTTATTCGATAGTTTAAATCACCCAACCAATAGATTTGGCTACAAATTATCGGATTAATGTTATATTAAATAAGTATTTGTTATCATTATATAAATTCGGAATATATTCTTACTCATGATCCTTAAAACCTTTTGGAGGCACATAAGTTTGAAAGTTAAGCCTAGCACAAATATCCGCATAATCCTGATTTCTTCTTTCATATTCTTCACAATGGGCAGCCAAGTGTGCATTTACAAAACAAACAGATGTATTATGTATACAGCAACTTACAGCAACACCACCTTTATTACCCTTAAAACATATTAAATGGGTTATGTATAAAAGGTGATAATTGGAAATAAAATATAGGTATTATTATTACCATTTTTCCCATTATTCCAGTCCCCACTGTATCAATGCAAATATTTTTGATGTGTGGCAAATGTGAACTCTGAGAAAAAATTATCAGCATCATGCCAACTAATCTCACAAGGGCAACTTGTTCATATTCCGCTTTATGATGCAGAGACTTAGCTACAACTTGTCTCCATTCATCTTCACGGGGTGTGTCGTTAAAAAGAAAGGCTTCTTTACTTAAATCTAATTCTTGAAAGCCTATTGCATAAAGATCGGGAGGCACTTCATCACTGCTTAACCACTGTTCTAAAGTTATTGCATTAGGTGGTTGTCCATTAACATTCCATGTACCAATGAATATTCTGAAAATATTTAAAAAAAGATTAATAATTTCTTGTAGAAAAATACTTGACTAAAATAATCTGCTATTAGAATTTAACAATTAAATGTCAAAAATCAATTTACATTATTTAGTGACACATGCACGCATGCACGCATGCACAAACACAAACACAAACACAAACACACACACAGAGAGAGAGAGAGAGAGAGAGAGAGAGAGAGAGACAGACAGACAAAAATGTAGATACATGCATATACATTTTACAATATTATTTTAACAAACCTAAGTGTTTTAGTATACGTATAATCATCTTCTTTACATGCCATTTGGTAACGAACTACTGATTCTCTTGTGCCAATTGGGCTCTTTCCAGTAGCTATATTACGTCGGGATACAACTAAATCTGAACTTTCAAGCTCAATGACCTAAAAGATGATCATAATATAATATTTATAAAATGTTTGACATTTTCAACAAATTTAATTAATCATTTTACTGGATCTGCAGCACTTAGTAAACGATCATTGGTGCTGTCTAAATTGCGAACGCTTCCTGTTAATTTTTGAATCCACAAGAAGTCTGTAGTAGGATTTTTATTTTTCTGATATACTACAAAATATTGTACAGTTATTCACAAATATTCTCTTAATTGATAATCTAGCTTTTTAATAGATTACCTTCAATAGCTTGAAAAATTGCAGAAACAAGATTCGTCGTTGTAATACCAGGTCTCATTTCAAAAATTGTTCGAGATTTTCGGCATGTTACATTTAAATATACATCCGTTACATCTTTCTGCTCTTCATCCGTTCCTGAATTAAAAGCAAATATGTTTATCTTATTAGCTATATGAATATAATTGATTGATATCTCTTACCAATGTCGCATTGAAAATCTTGATCAATGGGTAAAATTTTCTCAATTGTAAGGTCACTATATACTTGAGGTGGCGTTCGAGAAGTTAACAAAATGACTAGAGCATTCGTTGAACCTTTATTAACTAACGCAATAAGCCTTGTTGTTTTTAACCAATCTTGTACTAACATTGCTTCCATTGCCTAGGAATTTAGTCAAGGATAATATAAGTATTTTATTTTTAATTTCTTCATTATTGGAAGATGGATGTCTCGATATCTAATAAGAAAATTAGGTCTGTAAAAGGATACAATGACAACTATTTCACCCGTGGTAAATTTGGATTGGACAATCGCCAGTTGCTCCGGAGTTGACATAATGCTTAATTATTATCTGAAATTAGTAAGACAAGTGTAATAATATATTTACTGTAACCTACACGGACTTTAAACATCTGCAATGTAATAAAACTTAAATTACTGTTGTTAGTGTAGATTTTATCTTTATTTGTTTTTAATTCGATTGTGCTACACGCTCTCATAAAAATGTTAGGTAGTTATAAAACAATAATGTTGTAAAATATAAGACAGATTAATTATAATTATAAATCAATAAGATTAGTAGAATTTAAAAATATTAAATTTACTCATTAAAATAAATGTAACTAGACATAGCAAGTTTAAAATGAAAACATATTAAATTAACAAAATGAATATATGAATTTTACCTGAAATTTGTAAAGAAAATTTTATTTACGTATTTGCCGATCGATTCTTATTTTAACAATCTAAATTATGCATTTTTGACATAAACATTAACTTAACAGCTTAACCAAGATCGGTAGGATTGACAGGTGCAGTGTTAATAACACAAAAAGCATATTTTCATAAATTGTCTGCTCCGGCCCTTTGCCGCTGGGTAAACACAAATTTTTCTCAATAATACTTGGTTCATCTGGATATATTTTTAATTCTTGTACTTTCCCTTAAATTTTACTTTCCCTTAAATAATTGTTCCTTGAAAAACTATTAAAATTATGATAAAAAATAATATCTACGTTTATTTATTTCAATCATTGAATTAATACAGTGAAAAAAAAATTAATTTAATATTATTTTGAAATAAAATTGCTTTTATTAATTTTATTAATGTTAAGTGATTTTAGTCGCCATTTTATTATTGCGTTTGTCATTCGCGCTCACACATATGGCAACGCTGCCTACAAATTTTTATAAATGCGGGATCCTTAAATGTCGTATTTTTGCTTTCGATGCGAATGAGATAAAAAATTTAAAAAATCCTCGTTTTACAAACTTCGACTGAATTATAACATAATTTTAATGCCATTTCTATTATTTTTTATTAATAAATAATTTTCATTTGAGATATAAAATAATAAGTGAAAATATTTAAATTAAAAAAGACGTGAATTTATGATTATTGTAATGAAAATATTTTTACCTTTTCAATATTTAATTTACTTTCACGTATTGAAGAGTGGTTTCATTAAAAAAAAAAAAAAAATATGAGAAAACGATACTATTTCACAGCTTTAATTTTCATTTCATTTAAGTAACTAACAGTAACTAATAATAATAATAATGGTTTTATTAAAACCTTGGTGCTACGCTAATATTGCTTTAATACTCCGTCGATGTATTATTTAAAAAGTAGCCGTGAATTAAATATAACAAATTTTATTTTATAATTTTTATTTTTCAAATTGTACACTATACATTAACCCTTGATCAGTTTATGATTGTATTTAAACTTTAAATAAATACAAAATTGTATATATTATTTTGCAGGGTATTTTCAATAAAAATTTATTGCTTTACATTGTAAATAATGTAGTTTAATTACAAAAATTAATAATATAAAAGCTATAGACAATGTTCAATACATTTAATCTATAGGCCCTTCTTTTTATTCTTAGCATCCATCTTGCTAAGTTGTCGGAATATTTGTTTCTTCATCTCTTTCTGCCTGCCGAGTTTCTTTGCCTCTTCCTCGTTCTTCTTCTTCTGATAAGCGACGATTCTCTTATGTGTCGCATCCTTCAATTTACTTTGTTTATATGCATAATGCGTCCTTATCATCGTCATAAGTCTCGCAATATTTTGCTCCCTTGGCTCTCTCACCACGGCAATCTTATCGTTATCGGCTTCGGATTTTCGTTTGCCCTTCTGAATCTTCGGCTTATTTATGTACGGAAGCTCTCTCTGCAATTTCTTCGGAATGGTTAGAGGTCTGAAAATCTTTGGCTGCCGCTTAACATCTGTATAAAGGTTGTCAGGATTCGGGGTGACTTTGATGTTAAGGTCATGTTTTAATTGACCGGTTGTTCTCATGCCCATCCATTCGTTCTTATGACCCACGGGTAGAAGCAACGATGTCACTGGATTATAAAATTTCGGCAAGTCTATGCGATACCAGGTGCGACAGAACACAATATCACTTAGCCGTATTTTGTCTTCGAAAGTTGCTCGGAAACTGCCCTCGGGCTTCGACGAGGCTTTCTTTATCTGTCCACGTATTCCCGATACCGTCTTGATTTTTGCACCTTCGAACTTGGCAACCTCCAAGGTCGAGTTGAACATCTCCTTGATGAAGGCTGTCTTCTTATAAATTTTATGGGGATAGCCGACGAGCTTCAGTTTCTTCACTACATTACAACTCTTATCCAGTTCAATGATGGTTCCAGTGGCAGATATTCTGAAGCCGGAGTCGATCATCGAGACGTTCTGAACGGCAAGGATGCCCGTACCCTGGGGTGTGATTGGACCCCAGAAGTGAGCCATGCATGCGACATGTTCCGGTGTGTATTTGAGCATCCGATTTCTTAAATTGTCCTCTAATTAGCCGCGCATTAGAACAACAGACAAACAATTAATAATCAATTATTTTTATAATCATATATTGTATGAGTAACTAACTAATCTCTAGTTAATGCCGTTAATTATTTAAATGCTTATTACACATTTCAATTTATTGCATTATAGTATTGCAAATTTATATCTATATTTTTCGATTTTTAGTGCTTTATCAATTTAAATGACTTTAAATTATCTTGTTATGTTGCAATATCGTTTTAAAATATCTAATAGCAATCCGACACGATTTTATTGCGTCAAATTTTGCGAACAGCTTCTTATAATATAAATAATATTGCTAATTAAGACTTTTATTTGAATCTTATATTTGCAAAATCGTAATAATTTCACGTCTATTATGAATGTTCTACAAAAGTATATCACATGTAAGGTACTTTCTTTCCGTTATATTACTTATCCATTATATAATGAATTATTTTTTCGTTAATGGTGTAAATGACCAATCTGCATTTTAAAATTATATCGATATTTAAAATTTTACATATTAAATTATCATTGCATTTCTCGCTTGCGTGTGCAAAGAGGCAAAGAGTCTTATCCTACTTTAAAGCGTCAACGCGTTAAATTTAGCAGCGAGTACCCGAATTTTCTTACTAATTCAATTTCGAAAGCAATCGCAGCACTAATGAAATATTATTCGATCGGTCAACGCGTTAAATTTAGCAGCGAGTACCCGAATTTTCTTACTAATTCAATTTCGAAAAAAAAACCCACACCCCAAAAAAAAAATTTTTTTCTTTTTTTTTTTTTTTTTTTTTTTTTTTTTTATAAAAATTGGCAATGAGATAGAAGCGACATCCTTACCCAGCTTTGAAAAAATAATGAGTGTCTGAAATCTTCTCCAGCCTACGGATAGAATAAGTGGATCCTTGCTCTTCAGGATTCTCGAATACCAGCGGTGTTTTTTAATACGTGTCTGCACGTATCCGATGTTCTCCTCCGCGGGCAGCAAACCTCCCACGATCATCGGATAGTTTGGATCGTGATTAGTCACTAGTTCGCAGGGAGCCGTATCGATTTCCAGTCTAACATACATTCCGGGACGAAAACCCTCCAAAGTCACACGAACATCATCATTAAGGGACTCAAATTCTGTTCTATTTAGTTCTCCCTGCCGCTCGACTTCGAGCTTAAGATCTTCGTAAAAGCTTTTATCCCCTGTGTCGTACTCGGCATTAAATTGCTCTTTCAGCTTTTTTTTCTTTTCGAGGAGCTTTTTGCGCTCATCCATCTCATCGGCGTCCATTTCTTTCGGCGTTTCTGACTCGTGTTTCTCACCGGTTTCCAGATCTTCAAAATCACCATATACCTCTTCATCGTCGTCCTTCATATTATCTAATTAAAAATAATAATACAATATTTATTTGCCATTATAATGATTTAATTTTATAGATTTTATCATTTTCGTGTGCCGCAATATTATTTGTATATATAAAACTTTTAAAGGTACAAGTGCGTGCGTATTTTTATATTAATTTTTCATTTTTCATTTTTCATTTTTGTTCAAATAATTTTATTGTCGGTTGAGAGTTTATAGAAGTAAAATTTATAATTATCAATATGCTAATTTAAAATTTCAATTACACTCTATTTCCATATTTTAAAACACAATTATTCATTAAATGACTTTTCTTTCGAATTTCAATCAATAATCAATGATTATAAATTGAGGTGATATTTAAAAAATTAAATTTATAGGATTAAGTTTTTCTCGACGCGATACATGCATTTTCCTTATAATATACCCGAGGCGACCATTTGATAAATTCAATTTTTCATTATTTTAATATTATCGAATGCTTTTTTGTACATGACTGTTCTAGTATATGTTTATTCTAATTAAAGTCACATGCATTAATGTAATTCATTATAGCCTTCTTCTTACTTGTAATTAATTCTTGAGAAATTTTATTTGTAAATTTTATCGTAGCCTATTAATACTTTTTCCATTAATTCGAAATCATTCCAAGCAATAGCTGAATATTTATGCAACTTTTACAATTACATATTTCTATCTTTTGATAAGTTGAAAATATATTTTATATAAATTTTATTAGTTCATACGTTTAAACTATATACATAAAGTTCATAATTGAGTTTGCCAAATTTAATTTAGATTTAGTAGCAAGAGCAACGGACCATAAAAACTGACTGTACTTTTAATCATAATGTATGAGCTAAAAAATTTATTATAATCTATCGATATAAAAAAAGTTCAATAGACTTAACTTTTGAATAAATAAAATTTTTTTGGTTATCATTAATTGTCGAGTATATTATATTAATTTCCATATGTATAATCTCGGTATATTTCATATCATTTTTATTTAAAAAATTAACTATAATTCTTATCGTCTAGCCAAAATATTGGTTTAGTAACATTAATTTGTATATTTGCCTAGATTGTCTACTTAAGACTATTGATTTTATTGTAATGCATCTTCTATACACATTTTATAAATTAACTAGAAAGAACTTTATTAGGAAAATGAATTAATTATTATCCAATTTTTAGTTAATAAACTGGATTATTTAAAGTTTATAATATTAAATGTACATATTATGACAGTGTAAATAAATATAATTTACCTAATTTTAATAATTCTTCGGCATCTTCGGATTCTTTCCATTTGCCAGTAACAAATTGATTTACTAAAAGAGCTTTATTTTGAGGTTCAACCCAATTACGTGGATATTCCTTCGAAAAAAATATAGATTCTTCTTGGTTTTTTAATTCAGAGTCTTCAAATTTTTGCTTTTCTTTTGCTTCCATAATTCGAAATATCCCACCAATATCTTCTTCCCCTTCCATTTTCTTTACCGTTTCTTGATTTAATTTTTTTTCTTCAAAAACATCATATACTAATCGCATGATATTGACATTCGTTTGCTGCCTATCTAAAAACGATTCTCTTGCTCTTTCGGCTATATTTTTTTTCCATTTGACATCTTGAATATTGTTTTCTTCATCATCTAGTTTTTCATTTTCATTTTCGCTTTCATCTCCATTCTTATCATTATCTTCCTTATTATTTTCATAATTTTCTTTACCTGCTAAGTCAAAATCCATTTTTTCATCCCCGCTTAGCTCATCAAAACTTTCATCAGAATTATACTGAGTTGTGTCATTAGTATTTTCTTTATTAGAATTTCTTGATTTTATCAAGTTTTTGTCTTTCAATAAATTTAGAACTTCGGAAATTTTATCTTTTATTTGTTTATCTTCATTAATGTGTAATTCGTGATAAAGTTGCATATCTCTTTTGCTATCGGTAGAAGGATCTAGCTTAACTTTTTTTCTACTCGATTTATCAATAATTTTTCTTTTCCTTGTTTGTTCAATATTATCTTGAAACTCTACCGGCTCCTCATTTCTTCCTTGTACTTTCTTTTCTTCCTCACTCTCCCCTGCCTCATCTTCCTCATCTTCTTCTGCCTCTTCTTTGTCATCCTCTTCTGTCTCTTCTTGCTCATCTTCATCCTCTCCTGCCTCTTCTTTATCCTCTTCTACCTCGTCTTCTTCATCATCAAAATCCTGATCAATATTTTTTATAGAATTAACACTCTTTTTCTGTTCTTCGATACTATAATTATTTTGATCAAAATCTACATCTGCTTCATCATCACTTTCTTCATTACTATCATCATCGTCGTCGTCGTCATCATCTAGATTTTTATTGTCACAGCTTTGAGTGTCATTAAAAATTACTTTCCTTCGTACTCTATTTTCATCAACGATTTTTTCCTCTGTAAATATTTCTTTAACATCTTGAGACTTTATAGGTGCTGAATCCTTAAAGAATTGTAGTTCACTGTGTTCCAATTTATGATCCAAAGTCTCTTGAGTTTGCAATAAGTGTCCTAATAAACCTGTATCATCTTTCGTATGTGAGTGACTCCCACCGAGTTCAACATAAACAGCATCTTTGTCATAAACAATTCCACCAACTCCAGAGAATGGCGCATATATCAAACGTTCTCTTTCTACAAGAGCTCGTTTTTTTAATTGTTCTGGGAGCGGACACGGATCTGGTAGGAAATTAATATCCTTGATTTTTAAATCACCACAACCCGCAATATGAATAGAAGATTCTTTGTTGAGTGGCACACCACGTACATATCTATGAAAATTCATGAAAAAATTTTATATTTATCCTTTATATTACTCATTAAAAGTTTAATTATAAATTTCTGACAAATTTACTTACCCATAAACACAGACCGTCCTATCAATCTTGCAGTTTTGCCTAATCAATTCGGGATCTGTTATATCTTCTATCCTGTCAACTAGTAAGTACGGATGAGTCGATCTCCATGTAAGAGGTCTGAACTTCATTACTGAGATAAATCTTGCCAAATTTTTTATTTCCGTGCGTAAATATTGATTATGTAATAAGCCAGATAGATAAAATAATTTTGCTCCCGAATAGACTTCTGTCCAAAAGCGATGCTTCAAAGATTTCTTAATTTTTCGCATTTGCTTAGCATTTTTTATCATGTCCAAATGTGTTAAAACGCCCATAATACGTGGCATACCATGAACTTGACATATGTTGAGAAATTCAAAAATTTCCATCTCAAAACCAAAGGAGGCATCGATCAATAGTAAGACTAAATCAGCAACTTTAGCAATATCTATCATACTATTGATATCATTGTTACATTCTATAAAAGTAATTCTTCTATGTTTACCTGACACTAATGTAACAGGTCCAATAATATTGGTTAACGGATGCTTGGTATAATGTTTTATAAGGCACTGAATGACTAAAGACTTTCCTACTTTTGGTGGACCAACGATAGCAACTAAAACCGGTGGAGGTTCTACAGGTGTTCGATCAACAACAGGTATATGATGTTTTTTTGTATCAATATCCTGCTTACGTCGAAACCTTCTTTCTGCTTTTATCGTAGAATTAAATGTAAATGCCTTTGGATTTCTTTGCTTGGGATCTTCATGTTTGTAATTTTTCTTTTTCTTGATTTCCTTTTTGTCTGCCTTACGACCAGCATTTCGTTCTCTATGCTGTTTATGAGAAATGCCATCCCCCTCTGGAGCCGACATTTTTTATCTACAATTTAAAATCGTATAAATCATACTTTTCTACTTTACAAGCATTCGCGATTAATCAATTATTTATAAAACTATTTCTATAAAATATAACATACAGTTACATTCATATATATGAATATAAAAATTGAAAAGGACTTTGTCTCAAGAAATATGCATTTATATATACATTTATTATTCGTGTAACAAATATTTGATGGAATGATACAGCGGAGAACGATTAACATGAAATATTATTTATATTTGATATTAACAACAGTTTAGGACCTTGATAAATGAAAAACTAATGGTATCGACACTTAATTCTTTAACAGATAAATCGTAATAATTATAGAATAAAATTCGTGGAAATGACAAAATAATAAAGCACCGCATATACACATGCATATTTAGCACTCGCGCTTCTTTAAATTACAAATACACAATCATGTTTTATTATTTATGTAATAAATCATACTAACTCCCTTAATTTAGTGCTTTATTTCTTGACAATTGCATTTGCGGCTCACATACTTCAAATCTTGGCAAGTTTGATCGTTCTGCATGAGGCTCTGCGCTACAACGTGTTTGCAAGGTTATGTTTCGCGGACCGTACACACGCGCTATGGTGTTGGTAATTAAAATGTGCGTAATTACAAATGGTCGAGTTTAAAATACTAGCAAGTGGTAATTATAAAGAAGGTCGTATGCCCTTGTATCATCATATTATTACCATAATCATATTATGGAAATGTAAAGGATAGTATGGTGATAGTTGAGTTTGGCCAACTATAGGGAATTACTCGCATAAATGTTTTAATATCTATTTAACATCGTAGTAAGGATAATATTGGCAAGTGATTTAAAATCATTTAATAATTACTATCGGTAAATGACGAGTATCGGTAAATGTAATTCCGATTTAAAACGACAATGATTGTTCGTGTTGTATTAAAAGGTATTCCCTAAATTTATTTTTTTTTTTTTTTAATAAATTTGCAATTTTCATACGACGCGTTACATTGTCGAATTATTATGTTAATTAAAAAAAAAAAAAAAAATCTAAGTATTAATCTAAGTATTATCTAATCGTTGATATATAAAATTATTTTATGATTTAAGAAATATTTCTTTTGCTTTTAATAAAATGGCATAGTTTTATGAAAATAATTCATATTTTAAATCGTGAATATTTATTTATTATCATGAAGTTATTAATAATTATAATTACGATACTTCGGTTTAGAATATACGGAATATTATTGACCATTAAATATCGAGTTAATATAATAAAAAGTATAATATTATATTATGTTATTTCAATGAGAATGTTAAAATGTTAAATGGTAGGGCAAAATTTATATTCATTGTCATATTTCGCTTTATTTGAAAGGTATTTATGCTCTGTGTGCGATAATAATAAAAAAGTATTATATTATATTGTCGTTGATGTATTGCGATGATCAATATCAACGCAAATAATTTTAATTCGATCCTGTATTTAATTATCTAAAGGCTCTAAGTATAAGTACGAATGAATAAAAAAAAGATATATATATATTCTAATGGTTTGCACTCTATACCTCGAATAAATTCCGATGATAATCAAGATATTTTAAAAGGAATAGAGACGTTGTATATTTATTTTTTATAAATGATGTGCATTTATTGAATGCAAATATGTTTTTAATAATACGCACTCCCGCATATTTGTGCAAATACGCACATCCACGCAAACGCATATGCATATATACATATATATATATATATATATATATATATATATATACGGGCATGTACGTGCACGCGCGCCGTTTATATTCATGCATATATGTATATATATATATATATATATATATATGTATATGTATATGTATATGGATATGAATAATTAATTTTAACTTTAAATACGTTGGAATCATTCGTTTCTTCGAATCGATGCTTGGATCGATTACGAATCAAACGTACCGATAATACATACAACGCGCGTGAATTCGCCCGTTATAAACATTAGTAGTTAAAATAATCGCACCAGCCAACGCATAATCCAATATAAGAGCAGCGTTAAAATAGATAAACAACGAGTGAGGAAAAACGCAGTTGTTACCCGTGCGCTATAAGGAAAAAGAAATGCACTTAATGGCAGGATGCAAAAGTCAGAGAATCCGGCAACAACGCTGATGGTCCGCCAATCGCATGTGGCGCTTTAACGGAATCATCAGCTGATCGGCCAAAGGACCGTTGCCATTGGTCTTCGCACCTTCGAAAACTCAACGCGCATTCACTGACTGTCCCACTTACACCAGCTCAGACTGGCTTAGCCATTATGGTCACACATGCCCTCCCATTATGTACGTATAAGTGCATCGCGCGCCTGTGTACGTGCAGTGCAAGACAGTTTCGGCTCATTGCGAGACTCCGTCCGAGTCTTCGATGGCGTTGGGCGAACGTTGTTGTCGATCCGCCGACGTGACGAGCAGCTTCTCCTCGTCGTCGTGCCGCTTTTCCGAGAAGCTAAGCTCGTCGTCGCCGTTGCCGTCGTCGTAACCCCAGCGTTCGCGAATAGACGAGAGTCGAAGCGGAATTCGCAGTAAGAGGCGCCTGCGAAGAGGAGCACTTGGTGTTATTGCGTATGCGCGCGCGCTCGAGGGGACGCGAAAGGATGATGGGAGCGACTCGAGGACGACCGAGTTAGTTCGTACCAAGGTTAGGCATCGGTTGGTCAAAAGTGCAGCCGTTTCATTTATTAATTTCATTAGTCGTCCGAATTAGATTGTGAAGTATTTGTTTCGGAGTGAATTGCTCATAGTATCCGATGCCATTGGGAATCCAGTGAATTTTATACATTATACATTGGATATTGCGGCTTTGCGCGACAATTCATTTCATTATAAGAATTACGTTCGTTTTGAGGAAGAAAGTGTATTTTTTATAAAGTAATGCCCGACTTCTTGATTAATACTGAATACGAATTGTTAAATGTTTAAGAATAATACAAAAATAATTCTCCATCCCTTATATATAAATTATTTTTTAGTACCATTATAATTAGGATTTTTAGATTTTAATTTGTTTCGTTTTGTTGATTTTTTTGTTGACTCGTTTAGATAGTAATTTAAATTTATTTTTCATTGTTTTTCATTTAACTTTGCCAACTGACTCCCAAAGAGTTGTTGTAAATAATAAACAAAGTTTTTTAGAAACAACACTGAAGTATATGGTTGCATTCAAAATTAAATATGTAAAATCTATCAGTTATTCAATATAAATATAATTTTGCTTCTTAAGAATACGTTTCTTTTATAAATATACATTAAATTAAGTATTGTATCGTCTTTGGTTGAATAATAATCTTATTTATATAAATTTTTCTTTACAGATTATATGTCCAGGATATTGTTCAATAATTTTTATTAGTAAATAATAGCTTTCAGTCAGATCTATTCGATATGATAAATGTGCAATGGAATAAAAATGTTGCTGTTAGGTGATATAACAGCATCACTTATACGCTGGTTTGAAGGGTCATGAAGTTGACTCTGGTGATACTTTAATTTAATTATTATATATTGTTTCAATTCATAATATGATGGGAATATTGTACGAAAAGCGGCCATTAAAAAGGCCTAGATTAGGACCACCCGACGTTTATCCTCAAGAACCAAAGCAGAAAGAGGATGAACTAACTCCTAGTAATGTTAAACACGGATTTACTACTTCGTTGCAGCTGTCGGATGAACATGGCACTGCTAGAAATTGTAATGTTACTGCTGCTAAGGTTGGAGCTTATTTCAATGCTATATTAGCTAAAAAAGAAGAGTTAGCAACAATGCCAGATACGGGGAGAAAAAGACAGCAAATCAATCCTAAGGATAATTTTTGGCCGGTAACTGCTAGGACTAAAAATGGTATCGAGGCTTGGTTTAAAGATTTATCTGGCTGTAAGCCTCTTGTATCGTTAGCTAAAAAAGCACCAAATTTTAATAAAAAAGAAGAAATATTTACAATGTTGTGCGAGTATCAAGTGCCAATGTTAAGAGCTGCTTGGTTCATTAAACTTAGTTCTGCTTATACAGTAGCAGTTTCAGAAGCTAAAATAAAGAAACGACAATTGCCAGATCCAACTACAGGTATGAACGAACTAATTTTGATTGGGAATAGTACTTAAACAAAAAAAAATCTGTACTTAAATATTTGTAAATATTTTTTTTTTAAAGTAATTAAAAATGAAGAGTTTTTCTAATATTGCCAGAATTATCGGAATGCGTTTGTATATATTGTCACTAAACTTTTTATAACATCAGGGGTACAATATTACAAGTAATATTAGGAATCAATAATTCATCTAATATTCTTATCGAACATTTAAGATAACAATCATTTAAGAAAAATTAAATTAAACACTTCTATGATTAGTTTTATAATTTAATACATTGTATAATATTGTTATCTTCTGCTTATAATTAAAAGTATCGTTTTATTCTCGTTTAATTCATTGCAAATTTTGTTGAGAAATTAATTCTAGTACATAATTCTTCTTTAATCCTGTTATGATGTTTATGTACGGTACCACAATTTTACTAATTTTTACATCCCTTTATTCATTACTTGTTTAAAAATAAATTATTTTTTAAGAAACAAGGATTCCTAGAAAATAAATATAAAATACTTGAATGCATTGAACTCGTGTTAAGTATAGATTAACAACATTAATTATACTTTTCTCTAAAATTTCATAGTAAATTAAATTAACAGATAATTATTCTGCAAAATACTGACTAAATTTTACTGACTATTTACAGAATGGACTGGAACGTTAATCAAATTTCTCAAAGATCAGCTTTCCAAACTTCAAGAGTATTATCATTTGGGTGGACACACTTCGAGCAATTCAAACACAATTAATAGCAGTAGTAATATTGCAACCAATGGCATTACAAATTCTTCGTCTACAAGCACTACAAACAGCATAACGGCAAACGGTACCAATTTAAGTAGCCAATCTATTACGACGAACGGTGTTGTCAATGCTCAGCCTTCTACACCTAATTCGAACTCGACCTCTAATATTCAGTGTGCACCTACCACCATTATGAACGAGGATCATAAATTAGTCCTGAAACAATGGCACTATTGTATACAATTAGGTAAATTATTAAAAAAAAATACATTTTATTAAAATACAATCATATTATTTGTATAAGACATTTATATTTAAAAATTTCAAAATATTTTCTCTTTAAAACATAACATTTATCCGTGTATCGATACTGCAATAGAATTTTATAATCTCTACTTTTATTTGAAATTATTTTATTGGAAGTGGAGAAAAATTGAAGCTCCTAATTAAGCATCGAGAAAGATTGAGAAGACAAGTTTTTTAATTATTATTTCACAATGCTAAAATACCATTGTTACTTAAAAATCATTATAATGTTTTTGAATGTTGTTTTACATTTATTAAAGAGATTACGAATGGATTATGAAATCTAATAACTAAACCGATAGTAACGCACATGTACAGCTTCTATATATGCTCGTATTTTTTTCATCAAATCAGCCAAGTATATGTTTGAAGAGGGTCTCCTAGACAGACAAGAGCTTCTACAATGGATACTGGAACTCTTGGACAAATTAAGATCTGCACCATCGGATGATGGAGTTTTGAAGCTCTTGTTGCCGTTAGCATTACAATATTTGGAAGAATTCGTTCAGTCGGAGCTCTTGGCTAGGAGATTGGCTTATCTGTGTTGTAAAAAAATCGCGCACATGTGTAATAACGTGGATACCACGTGTAGCCCACAAAGTCCGTCCGTCATGGCAATTGCTGCAGTCGCTGCTGCTGTAAAAAACGAAATGAATGGGAACAAGGATGGACTTCACCCGCCTCAAGCGGCACCCGTTGTCAATCAATTAAACGCAGTTTTCAACGACTACTTAAATTGTCCTCATCACAGGGACGTTCTTTATGGACTCTCCACAATAATTCAAGTAAGCAGCCTCGCATGGATAGATTTTGGTTAAAATCGTCCTCGATAGCTCGGATTATAACGGATATGAGAATTTTGAAGAGCGAGAAATAACTGATCGTTCGCATTTATTTGCAGGTCATAACATTAGAGTGTCCTACGGCTTTGGTTTGGAATAACGTTGGAGAGGGTAAATCAATTTCGGTGTTAAACGGCTCACCATTAGATCACTTGCCATGTCCGCCAGCTGTACTTCCCAGTCCTCCAGCGAGTGCTGCTGGACCGACGCGGCGACAACTCAAGGTCGCCCAGGAAAACATTCGCTCACGCTCACAAGCTGCGGAAAGCCGTTGGTCTTGCGACAAATGGCAACAAAGTAGTGCTGGTAAGCTTCCTCTCTTTTAAAACATAAAGTCTTTAATTATTGTTTCTCTCTCTCTCTCTCTCTCTCTCTCTCTCTCTCTCTCTCTCTCTCTCTATGGGCAAATATTTGCTTTACTAAATTACCATTTCATTTATTATTTTACCTATTTTAACTCTTTCACAATTACAATGAAACAAAATAAATAAGGTTTTCTATTTTCTTTTTTTCTTTTTTAACAACTACTTCTTAAGTCTTATTCTAAAATATAATTTCATGAATACTAATATTTTTTTCTTCCGTTTAAAGATATCCGAAATAATTTAAATTATTTTATTTTATTTTACTTTACTTTACATTATTTCTTTTCATTTTATTTTACTTCTTTATACATTTTGTATCTTGGTGCCAATACCATCTATTCACGTTCGATAAAATAAAATATGTAAATTTTATTTAATTATTAAAATCAGAGTATATTTTTCATTTAATTTATTTATCGACAAATCATTATACGCTATTTTTATTCTTCGATTTTAGTAATTTTGTTTTGAGAATGGTTGATCGTACACAGATATAAATAATGTACTTTAAATTTTAATTAAAGTATTTGCAATAAAGTGACTAAATTTCATGAGGTATAGTCGTACGATTGAATTATTCATTACGCAGTAATTTATGAAATTGAATATTATGTTTCATAAATCTATCTTGAGACAGCTGTGAAAAAATACCATACAATCTACATAACATGTACAAATATTTTACACATTTATAAAATTTTGAATTTTCAAATAGTAATTTATTATTCAAATATAATTTTTGTTCTTCTTTCTATTCATAATTTAGATTGATTAACTTAAGACACCTGTCGTGAAAAGACAGTATCGATTATTACAAACTATTATAAAAATGAATCATAAAGTAACCAGAGTTTATAAATTACCACCCAGTAAATGGCGTATAAATTCGATTACTTATTGATCGATTGATTCGTTAGCCTCGTATGTTAATAAAGTCATTAAAATTTTCAACCGAGTAGATTCAATTATATTTCCTCTTGGTCCGCGATACATCAATACCTAATTCGATGGATTGATATGACAGGTATGACGACGACCAAAGTTCTGGCGGCTCTCGATGCCCTTGACCGGCATAGTTTCGATCGCATGGACTCGGGCAACTCCCTGGACACCCTCTATGCAAAGATCTTCACGAGTCCGGGTAAGGATGGTGGGGGAGCCGCTGTGGCCGGAGTCACCCTCCCTGCGTCGGTCACGTCCTCGTCGTCCGGGCCTGGTGGTGAGCGCGAGGCCAACAGTACGAAGGGCGAGTACAATCCTCAGCAGGATGCGCCGATCGTCGAGATTCTTTGCGAATGGGCGGTAAGTGCCGAGCGATGGGGCGAGCATCGCGCCATGGCCGTGGCCAAGCTTTTGGAAAAGCGCCAGAGCGAAGCGTCCGGAGAGAGCAACGATAGCGATGACAAGGATAGCGTATGCAGCAATGGAAACGGTCCGCCGGCCTTACCGATATTCCAGACGCTACTCATGAAGTTTTTGGACGTCGATGCACCTATCCTCGATAACGGGTCCGCGCAGTCCAAGGTCCAGTTCACGAATCTCGTGCATCTCTTTTCGGAGCTCATCAGGCACGACGTCTTCTCTCACGATGCTTACATGTGTACGCTGATATCTCGGGGAGACCTCATTCAAGGCGAGTGAACAGTCTCATTTTACTCATCATCGATCTTTTCGACTAAATGACCGAAGTTGACTCGAAATTACATACGCTTAGTCTACAAATTCGTATGAGTTTGCCCTATATAGAGTCTCGCGACATTCTTTTAAATCGTTGATTTATTTCCTCGTAATTTATAAGGAGTTTGCTATTAAGAACCAACGACCATGATTAATCAATTAATTGAAATTTTGTCGTTTTTAATAAATATATTTAAATTAATTTAAATTACTTCCCCTTTTGGGTGTCGGGAGTAATGATACGGCGAGTGGCCTTGGAAGAAAAGATCGTTGGATGTATCTAAGCATTCGATTGCAAATTGCGTGGCTCGACGTCTAACTAAATGATAAAGCAACATGAGAACACAAAAAGATTTATTATGTATCATCAGGTCCGGTAGCGAGTAAGCCAAACACACCGAGTAATCGAGAGCCAATGGACGAGGACAGCTTGTTCCCGGGTATCGATCTCAAACCGACGAAGCTCGATCCTCAGGACCACATGCGCTCGACAAATGATTACGACGACAGCAAGATTGACGACGATCTAGACAAGATACTCCAGGACATCAAAGACGTTCAGCAGAACAGCATGGATGCACCGGACAGCCCGAAGGAGAGCGACGCCCTTGCAGGCCACGGACACCATGATCCGGTCCTTGACTCGACCAAGCCGCCTACCAGCCCCAGCAGACATTTATTGTACACGACACACTTCCCGTTACCCCAGGACGAAACCTGTAGCCAGCACGACTGCAATCAGCGCCACGTACTTCTGTACGGAGTGGGTCGAGTCAGGGACGAAGCCAGACACGTCGTTAAAAAAATGACCAAGGAGGTAGGCTTTATCTTCGTTTTTAATAGCCTTAAGCAAATGTAATATACGAAAAAGCAAAGCAAAAATAGAAGGAAAGAATGAATTTAACAAGCAAACAAACTTTCGTCAAAGTTATCGTCTAATAACGTACGTGCACATTCCGTCAGGTTTGCAAGCTTTTCGGCAAAAAATTCAGCATCGATGTGGCGGAGGGCGGTAAAGTGAAGAAGCACTCACGCAGTGAATTTAACTTCGAGGCTATCACCCAGAAATTCCAAAATCTCAGCTATTTCGATCAACATGTAGTAACGTGGCAGTGCGCCACTCAAGTTGTCGATATGCTCAACACTTTCGTCACTGGTTCGTCGTATTTGCCGGTGCAGGAGCACGTTGCCTTTCTCTTCGACCTCATGGAACTCGCTCTCAATATCTACGGACTGATCGAGATATGTATACAGATATTGAAGGAGCTGCCGGACGTTGAAGTACAGTTGGATGTCAGAAAAAGCACGCTTATTCGAAGTTATACGACGAATCTCAGTCTGTATATCGTCGGGGTACTCAGGAGATATCACTGCTGCTTACTACGTAAGCTTATAACAATTTTTTTTTTTTTTTTTCAAAATAATCATAAGTTCGTGTATATTGCATACTATTCAAACAAGTTACATGTAATTTAAAGTGCAAAAGAGCTGATGATAATCCATTAAGAGGCTGTGAATTATGAATACAAGCCTGAATCAAACGAGAGTTTACGAACAATAGTATTTTCATGATTCTGCACGCATGATTATTCATATACATGATAATTTGTAAAAATCAATTCGCAAAATATATTTTTAAAGAGATTATTATCAAATTTGATATAATCCACATATATAATCGGTTGCGCGTAAACTTGACAATTGAAATAATGTAAAACAAATGTAAACGTACGTTTTATGGAATATTGATTTTATTTGATAATACCTTCCCAATCTCATTTACTCATTTTGTTTCAAGTTTCGCCGGAGCAAACGACAGTGGTTTTCAGTCTGCTCTGTAAAATGGTGGCGCACGTTTCGAATCCAAGCGATTGCAGCTCCGCGGAGCGCTGTGTTCTCGCACATCTTTACGATCTTTACTCGAACTGCTCCTTGCTAAAGACTAAACCTCATAGTTCGGAGGGTTTCAACAATGCGAATCCAAAAATACGAGCGGCATACTATACGGCCCTCACGCTCACGCCCTCGAATCATCTCTATAATTCACAGTTTATGGTAGATGTGTTGAACAGCCCTCGTCGAGGTGGTAAAATCGAGGCACAATGGGCTCGCCAACTCAACGAGGCACCGGCCAATCGTTATAGGTAGGCTAATATCCCATACAATGCAATTCCCTCAATTTCTCATATAGATCCACGTGTGCTCGGCTGAATACTACAATGGAAATAATTAATCGATAAAAAAAAAACTAACTTTCATCCTCATTTTTTTTATTACAGCTTCGTATGTAATGCTATTGTTGCTGTATGCAGTGAAACCGACAATGATAAACTCAACGATATCGCGATCACATGTGCAGAACTTACTGCTTGCTGCAACGCATTAAATACGGAGTGGCTGGGCGTTCTAAGTGCTCTCTGTTGCTCCTCGAATAGTTCGGCTAATTATATCGATGTACAAAATCAAGTGGATGTTCAGGATTTGAGTATTCACAATTCATTAGCTGTCTTCACATCTATTCTTATTGGTAAACCATATTAATACTTGTCTTATGTCCCTATCAATTGTTTATTATAACAATTAATAATATTTTAATATTATGCATGTGATCGATTTACGTATACGCGCTAAGTACTTTCGATTATTAAATAGAAATTTGAGGGACAAAAGGCTAAATCATCAACGATTGCTCAAATTATAAAATATTAATGGTGTTATATTTGAACAATAAATAACTTAAACAGTTAGATAATACAAAGCAACAGTCTTGATCAAGTATCGCCCTCGTATATCTCTAAAGATTCTTAAATATCAGTTCTTGTAAATATCTTCAAATCTTTATACACTTTTTGATATTGTAAATTAAAGGAAAAGAAGAAGAAGAAAAAAACTCGCGTGCTTTCTGATCGAAACGAAGCTTTAAAAAATGTAGCCCATTTTTCTTTTGTACTGTAGCCACGAGTATTGGCTATCATATTACGTTTTCTAAAAGTTGCGCGTTCCCTTATAGCGATACGCAAAAAATGAAGTTGCAAGAAAAATATTTGAACAGAAAAATCATTTCTGATACAGCGAGGCACTGTTTCTCCCTGGAGGACTTTGTGCGCCATATAGCTTTGCCGTCGCTTGTGAAAGCTTGCAACGAGGGCCGCGGAGACGCAGACAACGAGGCCGAGGCCGGCGCCCGGCTTACGTGTCACCTCCTTCTCCGGCTTTTCAAGACAGTCGAGTGTCCGCAGCCGGCCCTCTACTCCGTCGGTACCTCGCCGCATCCGCTCCCCAGTGGCAATCAGCGCAGCTATAGTATTAAGCTGAGTTGCGACCGGCACCTTTTAGCTGCTGCCCACAATAACATAAGCGTCGGCCCGCTTATAGCGGTACTAAAAGCTATTCTAGTGGTGGGTGATGCGACGGCAGGGAAACAGCAGCAAAAGAAACCGGACACGTTAATGTCACACTCAGGCAAAGGTGGTCCAGGAAGTGTTGGGGGCTCTGGCCCTGGTGAACTCTCTATTAGTCATATTTTAGGTGAGCATCTTTTGCAATAGACATAATAATTAAACATTTATTTGACTTGTAAACGGCAAGTTTTGTTTGTTTAAATTTTGTTGTTTTTTGTTTTTCCCTAAAAAGAAGAGACAAAGAGGAGACATGAAAAGTAACGAAATGTATCGTTATAGACACGAAATTAGTCATTTATTTGCATTGATAGATTAATAAAGTGTGCTGGTTGTTAGTTATTGTAAATTCATGCAGAATAAATTCATAGAGTTTTAAATAGAAAAATTATTAAATCGAAATACGCATACTTGAAAATTAATATATTTGAGAAAATTAAAAAAACCTTACGACGAACTACTAATTTATATTTTCAATTCTGCATTTCGCCTGTAGTCATAAGCTTTTCTTCTTTTTTAAATAATTTTGTTTGTTATAATATTCAACACAATTCTCTACGTATTAAACAAACGTACATAATTTTTTTTGTACATTTTGTTATTTTTATTGTCAATGTAGGTACGAGTGATATTCTTGGTGGTGCTGACGATCTGGGTTTAGATCTGGCGATGTCATCGTCAAGTAGTAGTGTAGGAATGATAACGGAGAGTGTTAAAGGATTGTCGGATTTCGCTCAGCATGTTCTTCGACAAATTTGTAGTCAAGAATGGGTTTTGGAAAGATGTTTACAAAATCCTGAAGAGCTTTGTCAAGAAGATATGCTTCTTGATAATATGCTTACCCCACGTCAGGGTATTTAAGGAGAAATTTGACTTTTTTTTTTTTTTTTTAATTCAAATTAATATGCAATTAAAAATAAAAGCGGGCTATTGAAATTGCTTGATTGAATAAATTAATCGCTGCTTCAGGCTCAAAGATTGCTGCATATGATCTGCTATCCAGATACGCCTGCTGATGCATTTTTAGAACAGAAAACTCACATCACGAATATCCTGGAGAACCTTGAACAGTGGAGCTTACGTATGTCCTGGTTGGATCTTCAGCTAATGTATAAGCAGTTTCCATCGGCATCCAGTGATCTGTCACAGTGGCTAGACACCGTAGCGAAGGCAGCGATCGACGTCTTCCAGCTGAACAATGTATCCGGCAAGCCTGAAAAACGTTCGGATTCCATCTGGTTGGTGGCACCTTTAGTATCAAAGCTGCCTAGCGCAGTGCAAGGTAGAGTACTTAAGGTTGCTGGTCAAGTGCTAGAATCGGGTAATTGGTCAAAGGCAGCGGGAAGAGACAGAAGAATCAAGTCACCTTCGATGTTTAATCACCAGCCCTTCTTGTCCCTAGTATTGACGTGTTTAAAAGGGCAAGACGATCAGAGAGAAGGTATGTTACTTGCTCATTTTTTTCTCTATTATTATTATTATTTTTTTTTTTTTTTTTTATTCGGAACTTATTCCTCTCTTATTATTCTTATTCAGTTGTATTTTGATTATACGTTATGTCATTAAAAATGAAATGAATTAATATATTAATTATCCTATGCAATGTAAATTATAATATTGTATTGTTAAGGATGCGAATATTTGAATTAAAGGCGAAAAAAAATTTTTCCTTGCAGGTCTACTGACATCGTTGCATTCTCAACTATCACAATTTTGCACGACAAGTAAGGATGAAAAAAGTATCGGCAGCGATGATCCCAAGGCTCGAGAAATCCTCCAAGATGCTCTTCAGCTGCGATTCAGTCTTGTTGGCGGTGTCTTCGATACAATACAACGAAATATCACCGTTACAAATGATTGGGCGATGTTGCTCGTGCAGCTCGTGAGCTACGGCGTGATCGACCTTAATAACAACGCGGAACTGTTCACGACTGTGATCGATATGCTTGCGACTCTCATACATTCCACGCTAGTTTCCGATTCGCAAAGCGAAAAGGACGAGAATAAAAAGTACTATCAAAATCTTATGAAAAAATTGAAGAAGGAGCTGGGAGATAGAAACAGCCAGAGCATACAGTTTGTAAGGCAATTATTGCCTTTGCCCAAAGTTACCATGGAAGTCATTACATGCGAGCAAGTTGGCTGCATCACCGATACCAAAGGCAATAAGATTGCCGGTTTCAACAGTATTGATAAAAAGCAAGTACGTAATCACAAGTCGTCACAATATGAACTCACGTTCATATAAATCTGTCGACGATCATACTAAATAAACTTGAAGGAAGTCGAAAAAAAGAAAGAAACAAACAAACAAAACTATTAATTTTAATACTTAAACCATGATTAATCGTGATTATTTATTTCTAGGGCTTACAAGTTTATAATGCGCAGCGCGTCTCGGCCTGGGAGCTTCTCGAGGGCCACAAGAATCCAGCTCCCCTCTCCTGGGCCTGGTTTCGTGCTGTACGTCTCGAACGCAAACCACTGACATATCAGAACGCTCACAAGCTGCTACGCTATCACACTCATAGCCAAATCAGGCCTGCGTCGCATTATCTGGAGCCACCCCCACTCCCACCTGAAGACCTCGAGCCCGATAAGAAGGAATTAGAAACGGGTAAAGCTGATACGCCGATGAGCATCGACTCGCCAGGGCGAATGATGGTAACGATAGCTGGGGCCGGTAAGGGTAAAGCTTTGAAAACGAAACGCCACCGAAGGAACAAGGGACCGGCAACTCCAACGAATCCAATGCAGCCACAACAGATACCGGTTGGTTGGATTTTTCACTTACGAGCATTTTCTGCCTGCTAAATCGAAACATTCCAACTCCTCATACAATCGATTGTGAATTTAATAATATGTGTATTAGTACAGACATACGTAGGATTAATTAAATTGAACATTCTAATTGTGCCCATATTTTTCAAAATTAATACTAAATAAGATAAATAATCGATGAAAATTCGATGATATTTTTTCCTCTGATTTTAATGCAGTTTTCTTAAGTAAATATGCTAACTGAACCAAGGATAACTATTACAGATGAAAATTGTTTCGAGCCTATATGAAATAAAATTATCAGCATCATCGTACAAATAGTATTTTTATAAATGATGTAAACGTTTATATAATTAATCTCTTTTATTCTGCCCCCCCCCCCCACCCACCCCACAATTCTCAAGAAATTTAATAAGATTTTGTAAACAAATTCTACTTCTTTTCAACATTATTATTATTTAAGCTTTGAATTGCTTCAATATTATTCGAAATTATTTGACATTCGTCCCCGTATTTTCAGCAGCCTCAAGGACCAAACCAAATGCAGCAAATGGTTTACAATGCTCAGCAGGCCCAAGTATCTCAGCAGCCAGGTATGTTCCCCAATCAACAGCAACAGGCTCAGCAGCAGCAAGCCCAGCAACAACAGCAGGTTCAGCAGCAGCAAGTCAAGCAGCAGCAGCAGCAGCAGCAACAGCAACTGCAACTGCAACAGCAACTGCAGCAGCAACAACAGGAGCAGTTACTGCATCAGAAACTGCACCAGCAACAACAACAACAACAACAAAGGCTCAGCAACAACAAGCCCAACAACAGCAGCAATGGTACCCGAATCAACAGGCCCCGCATCCAACTCCACCACAGCAGTACGGACCGTACGGTAACCAGATGGCGCCGACGCAAATCGCGGGTCCGCGTTATGATAGACCGGGGCCCGCCCTCAACCAGTCCCAGTCCAAGCAGGCCCTAACTAACATGCTGAGGCTACGATTACCATCGAACCAGTTCATTGGTGCACAGCAGCAGCAGCAGCAGCAGGCGGGTCAGCAAAAAA